CTTCCTCCATTGACGTTGCTGGTCAGAAGCTGGCTGGGAAGATCACAAACAGTGATCGTGTGTCCTCAGGACACTTTGACTCTTGTAAAATACACGTCGGTTGCCAAGCATTCAGATTTTTAATCACATGACCGTGGGGTTGCTGTAATGGTCATAAATGCAAGGACCAGTCAAGTCAAGTTTTTTTCAGTGCTGTTGTAACGTCAGTCTCTAAACAAATTGCTTTAAGCCCAGGACTGTCTATACATTACTGTATCTTTAGATAACACCTTTTCTTCTTCCTGTTTCAATGGATAATCTGTCCTTCTCCAGAAGCTGGAGTAATTTATCTGATTACAATTTTGGCAGCTATGGGAATGAACCTCGTTGAACTCTGGGAGGTTTACTTTAGAATAAACATGCATCAGATTACACTATCTGCCATTGCTTCCTCTTGGGATAGTTCTTCCTTAGGCATTCAACTCTCTCTCTCTCTCTTTCTCTCTCTCCTTTTAAATTCATTTGATTTTTTTTTTCAAAAAGCAAAACAAAGTGTGTGCCAAAACTTCCTTTCTCCACCTCCCTCCTTGCAGGCCCATTTCTGTGATCAGCGTCAGATGGGCAGGTTGAAATGTTTGCAGAGACTCCAAATTTCTAAAAGATTCACTATCGACGCGTTCACCTTTCTCTGGTTGGGAGATAGAGCTGAGTGGCATCTCCGTCACAGAAGCCTTGTGATACGTTGAATATTTGAAGCAAGGGATTTGCAAAGAGATGGTTCGACATAAGGTTTTGCTACTTGGTGCCCCACAGCAGAGTTTGTCTGGGTATCCAGGGTGGCTGGAGAAATATTGACATAGTCAGAAGCATTTTTGGAGCCTTGTATAAACTGTTCTGTCACTTTTTGAAGGAAAAACAAACCCGCCCTATTATTTATTTATTTATTTATTTATTTATTTATTTATTTATTTATTTATTTATTTATTTATTTATTTTTATTAAATTTATATGCCGCCCTTCTCCCGTAGGACTCGGGGCGGCACACAGAATTAAAAACATATCACAATAAAAATCCTAAAAACAGCCAATATAAAACCCCAAACAGAATAAAATCTCGTAGCAGATCAGGGAAATTGCTGAAACAGCTATGTCTTCAGGTCGGTGCGGAAAGTGCGGAGGTCAGGGGCCGTCCGGAGCCCGATGAGTAACTCATTCCAGAGGGTTGGTGCGGACACTGGGAACGCCCTCATCCTGGGGGCCACCAGCCGACATTGTCTGGCTGATGGTACTCGGAGGAGGGCAGCCCTATGTGACCACACAGGGCGGTAGGAGGCCGGTAGGAGGTGGTCCTGCAAGTACCCCGGGCCCATGTCATGTAGGGCTTTATAGGTAAGAACCAGCACCTTGAAGCGGATCCGAAGAACAACCGGCAGCTAGTGCAGCTCGTGCAGGAGAGGTGTCACATGGGAGTAACGGGAAGCTCCCGTAACAACCCGCGTGGCCACATTTTAAACTTATTAAGGTTTAAACTAAGAATGTCTGGTTCACAAGATATAAATCATTAACTAGAGTTAAAGGTTATGGTGAAGTAAATCTAGTCAATCAGAATAGAGTTGGAAGGGACCTTGGAGGTCTTCTAGTCCAACCCCCTTCTGTTCAAGCAGAAGACCCTATACCAGGGGTGTCAAACTCAAGGCCCGTGGGCCGAATTTGGCCCACGGGGTGCTTAGATCTGGCCCATGGGCACACTCTGGAAACAGCGAAGGACCAGCCCGCGGTGCTTCTGCCAGTGAAAACAGAGCCTGGGCAGGCCTGGTGCGGCTTCCCTGAGTTCCGCTTTCACTGGCAGAGGGCTGCAGGAGGCCGTTGTGGCTGAAAACAGAGCTTTGAGTGTTATCCAGCTGGCCACGCCCATTATTTCTTGTGCTTTGGATAATAAATTGTGCCTCCCCCCCCCTTTTTTTGTGGCAACCTCTCAAACCGTAGACTTCTAATTTGATAAAAAAAATGGAAAGGCAGACTCTAAATGTTTTTTTTTAAATGGTTTGGAACAAAACTGTGTCAAATTGTAGTCAAAAGAGCCTTGGTGGCACAGCAGACTAAAGTGCTGTTAAGTAACACCAGCTGCCTGCAATTACTGCGAGTTCAAATCTCACCAGGCTCAAGGTTGACCCAGCCTTCCATCCTTCCGAGGTAGGTAAAATGAGGACCCGGATTGTGGGGGCAATAAGCTGACTTTGTATAAAAAAAGAACACTGCTTAGGGGGGGCGAAAGCCCTACTAAGCAGGTATATACAAAAGTATGAAGGCTATTGCTTAACGCATTGTAAGTCGCCCTGAGTCTCTGGAGAAGGGCGGCATATAAATCGAACCAATAAATAAATAAGTAGTCTAAGAATGGTTAGAACTTACATCAGATTCACTTTTCAAATAAGAGGACATCGCAGCATATTCACAGAACCTGGTTAGTCATCCTTCAGTGGGAGGAATCAGATCTGCTTTGTGATAAAAAGCATATGGTATTTTTTGCTGCGGTGACATTGTTTATAGCCAGGTAAAGGAATAATGGGAGGGGGGGAAAGTAGGTCAAGATGTTTTCACTTTCCAGAATTCATACAGCTGAGGTTCTTATAGCTCCAGCAGATCAACTAGGCAGAAATTCCACAAGGATGGATTTCTCCATTTCGTTAGATCTGCCTTGTGAATTTGGAATGCCCTTGAAAGATGTGAAATGTACTATAGGAGGTAAGGAATCAGGACGAGTATCAGAGGGCATCTGCCAAGGTCTGCAAATTGTCCAGTCATGGCAGTTTTGCTGATGTTCTCTCTTGGTCATTGTCACCTGTGAGTGGAGTAAAAAAACATACACCCAGATACATTGTGTTCTGTCTGTGCACAGCAGCAGTGAAGAAAATTTGGAGGAAAGCAGCAAGAGTGGTTGGGTGTGTAGAGGGAATGGCCTTGGGGGACAGCAGGAAAAGTCAGATAAAAGGGGACTGAGCCCAGGCCAAGAATGTAACGTGACTATGGGTAGTCATCGAGTTACGACTATAATGGAACTGCCCATTATGGTTGCAAGTTGTAATGTTAATTAAGCAAGGTGCCTACAGTGATCGCCTTGCTTAATGACCTCCCACCTGTGTTCTCCCTGATGTAGTTGTTAAGCGATCTTGTTCAAGGGTAGGGGAGGCCCTGGGAAGCCTGCCTTGAGCCTCCGAAGGCTTCCCCCACACCCATGAGGCACTCCTTGCTCCACTTCCTGCCTCTGGGGTCCGTGCAGCTTTGGCCCTGCGTCCTCCCCTTGGGGTCTCTGTAGGCGTTAGCTTTGCTTCCCACTCAGCCACCCACAGGAGCCCCAGGCCTCTCCCTCAGCTTGGCTCCTGTAGGGAGCCCCACTACAAGATCTTGCAAGATTCTGTTAACTATAACTTTATAATAAATTGGTCTATAGGACTTTCATCTCCTAGACCAGTGTTTCTCAAACCTTAGCAACTTGAAGATGGGTGGACTTCAACTCCCATAGCTGGCGGGGAATTCTGGGAGTTGAAGTCCACCCATCTTCAAGTTGCTAAGGTTGAGAGGCTGGTCTGCCTGAAAGGGCTGACATTGAGCGATTAGATAACAGATTTACAGAGTTGGAAGGGACCTTATAGGTCATCTAGTCCAACCACCCCACCCCAGCCCAAGCAGGAGACCCTACACCATTTCTGGCAGATGGCAGTCCAGTCTCTTCTTGAAAGCTTTCATTGATGAAGCTCCCACAACTTCCAAAGGCAACCTCTTGTTCCATTGACTGATTGTTCTCACTGTCAGAAAATTTCTCCTTATTTCCAGGTTGAATCTCTCCTTGTTCAGTTTCCATCCATTATTCCTTGTCTGGCATACAATCTATTTTTGGAAAATAGCTTGACCCCTCCTCCTCTCTGTGGCAGCTCCTCAAATATTGGAAGACTGCTATCATGTCTCCCCTGGTCCTTCTCTTCACTAGACTAGACTAGCCATGCCCAGCTCCTGCAACCCTTCATCGTATGTTTTAGCCTCCAGTCCCCTCATCATCCAGGTTGCTCTTCTCTGCACTTTTTCTAGAGTCTCAACATCTTTTTTATAGTGTGGTGACCAAAACTGGATGCAGTATTCTACAGTAGGTGTGGTCTTACTAAGGCTCTATAGAGTGGTATTAGTATCTCCCCTGATCTTGATTGTATCCCTCTGTTAATGCAATTTAGGATTGCATTGGCTTTTTTTGGTTGCTGCTGCACACTGTTAGCTCATATTTAATTGGTTGTCCACTAAGACTCCGAGGTCCCTCTCACAATTATTGCTATTAAGCCTTGTTTCACCCAGTCTATATGTTTACTTTTGGTTTTTCTTGCCTAAGTGTAAGATTTTACTTTTCTCTACATTGAATTTCATTTTTAGATATCCTTATTCTTACTGAGAAAATGCAGGAGAATATCTGAGATTCTGCACCCTTTCCTGTGCAGAAAGGATCCTTGATTGGAAATAAAAAAACTGACACCCATATAAGTTTTTTTAAAAAAAAGTTTGGGCAAAACGATTTACGCTGTCTGAAGGGGAAACTAGTACGTTTATAATGATTTGGATGTAATCAGTAGGGTTCAATGGGAAAGAATTTAAAACCAACCCTGTTTTATTTTTTAAGTATTTATTCTTCACTTTTTTTTTCTTTTTCTCTATTTTTGTTTACAAGAACATGGACATTTATTTTAAGAACGATGACAAATAAAGGGTGAGATCCATATAAGTATTAAGGTTTAGAGTGTTGTGGTGATTTACTGTATGTTACTTCCTAAGATGATATAAGCAATCTAATTTTATATAGTCCATTAATCATTTAAACAATGAAGTAATAAATGTTACATTTGATGACAAATGTCGTTTATTTTGTCCTTTAAATATTTTAAAATATGCAAAAAAAAAAAAAAAAAGAGGATGTAAAAGCTGGAGACGGGAGTTTTGATACCACCGGATTGTAATTTTTCTGATTTCCCCTCTTTCAGTGACCTTGTGCCGAGGTGGCTGCGTGGAGGTGGATGCAGAAACGGAGGCTGTAGTCGGCAACTCTTTCAAGATCCGTTGCATCTCGTGCAAGAAGCGAAGTGAAACAGAGGCAGAAGCTTTTACTGAATGGTTCTTCAAAGAAGAGGGGACAACAGACTTGGTCAAGGTGTGTGCTGGAGCAAAGTAGGAATATTCCAACCTGGGCAACTTTAAGCCTGGCGGACTTCAACTCCCAGAATTCCCCAGCCAGCAAAGCTATGGCCCCTGCCCTCTGGAATATTCTCCCGCTAGAGATGAGGTTGCCCCCCTCCCACACACACACACACCTGGCCTTCAGGAAGAACTTAAAACCTGGCTCTGAAGAGCTGGCCTGTGGCCCTGATAGATGTGCTCTGTGCTGATAGAGGGGCTGGCTGATACAGTAGACCAGCAGTGTCAAATTCAATTTTATTGAGGCTGTGGTTGACCTTGGGAAGGGGGGCTGAGTGGGTGTGGCCAACTGGGTAGGTGTGGCCAGCTTGCCGCCACTCCCTAAACTGCTGGCATCAGAGATGGGTTTCAGCAAGTTCTGACCAGTTCTGGAGAACCGGTAGCGGAAATTTTGCATAGTTCAGAGAACCGGTAAATACCACCTCTGACTGGCCCCACCCCCATCTATTCTCTGCCTCCAGAGTCCCAGCTGATTGGGAGGAAATGGGGATTTTGCAGTATCTTTCCCCTGGAGTGGGGTGGGAATGGAGATTTTACAGTATCCTTCCCCTGCCACGCCCGCCATGCCATGCCATGCCACGCCCACCAAGCCACGCCCACAGAACCGGTAGTAAAAAAATTTGAATCCCACCACTGGCTGGCAAGTTTCCTCTTCGCACTGGGTAGTCTGGGCCGAAGCGATGCCGGCCAGCACCTTACATTTTCCAGGACGGCCTCATGGGCCTAATCTGACTACATTGCAGTCCAGATTCGGCCCGCAGGTCTTGTGTTTGACACCCCTGGAGTAGACAGAGAGAAGACCCCCATCCATGTTTATCTTGTCCTCTTCATCAGGGGTCTCCAATTTGGCAACTTTAAGACTCGTGGATTTTAATGCCCAGAATTCTAGCCAATATGGCTGGCTGCAGAATTCTGAGCATTGAAATTCTCATCTTAAAAGTAGCCAAAGTTGGATACCTCTGCTCTTGGTGCCTTTCCATTGCTGCATTTTTCTACCCAAGGCCATTATTTTAGTTTGCCCAGCCCTGTCTTTTTCTTCCAGTTAATATAGGACACAAAGTGGTTCTCTTAGAAGAATCTTCAATCTCCAATCTACTGCCAGAAATGGCTATTTCACCTTGATTCACAATACATTACTTCTACTTATCTGTCCTGACCTAGGCTTCCCCAGCAGCACGAAGCCAAGTCCTCATCCCGATAAACCCCTTTTATTTAATTTACAGTGAATTCCTCTCCAGTAAAGTTTTTCCTCTCCCACAGTTTTTCAAGATAGTTCACAATTACTGACCTTTATCAGGCTTGGAGAGTGGCCAGGCTGATATCTTTCAGACGCCGCAATACTTGGCAAGAATGCAGTAATGAACTAATTGTCTCCTGCAAACTCCATTCCCCTTTTCACTCCTCTTTTATTCCCTATGGGAGGGGCCCTTCATCATCCACCTGTGGCCTTACTTCCAAGTCGACCCTTGTTCTTTAGCTGTGTCTGGCAACTCTGCATTTGTGCACACTGGGAACAGGCTCCAGCTGTTCATCTACCTCATTGGTATCTGATTCCAAAGGCATCTGATAACTGGCATACGGCCCTGTCCCCCTCTCTGCCTCCAACTCAGAGCCCTCATCAGAGCCTTCCCCAGACTCCAGGACTGGCCCACGTTCCTCCCCAACCTCCTCACTGTCCGAATCTGCTGCCAGATTTGCTGGCCGCTGGCGGGCCACAACATCATAATCACCATCGTATTATTACTGAAGGGCTGTATTTTTCTGTGTGCAGTACTGTTTCTTCTGGTTCTGACTGGGTCCTCTCCATCTTCTCTCCAGATTCTTCGCTATGATTACTATGAAAGGCTCAATATATATGATCCTCGCTTTGAAGATCTAGTGGTGTGGAATGGTACCAAGAACATTGCAGATTTGCAGGATGTCTCCATTTTCATCCTGAACGTGACTTTCGAACACAAAGGGGAGTACATCTGCAGTGTCAACCGCACACTCCATTTTGCCAATGAGTTCTCCTACAACATCATGGTCAACAAAACCATCCACCTTGATGTGGTTGAAAAAGGTAAGCACAAAGCTGGAGCTAAGAAGTAATACAATAGTTTTTAGATTGTGCAGAAATGAATAGATTAACTCTGATGATTAAGGATAAGGAAGAATCAGAATATTTTAAAACATGGAATTATTTTTATAGTTGGTTGGAAAAGAGATATACTGTAGATGACGGATACCATAACTACGTATAAATGATGATTACAATATTGATTTAGCAATGAAATGTTAGAATGGTTTGGATGAAGATGAAGATAGAAGAAACTTATGGAAGATGGAGAAGAAGCCTAGAAGATAACACTGAGATGTCACAGGGAAGGGAGTATTGATGTATTAAATGTTTGTTTGTCTTAAAAAATTACTTAAAAAAAAAAAGCTGGAGCTCAAAGATGGTGGAGCAGGCATGAGGGTACCTTGGCATGTTGTAGACCATTGGAGAGTTTAAACATCAGATTATTTATGGGTCAGAGCATCTTTTTTAATCACCTTATTTTCCACAGGGTCCAATCGGACAGTTTCAGAATTTATAAACGTTCTCTTGCCTGAGTTCCACCAATGGGCATAACCAGAAGTAAGGATGAATGTAGCCAGACTCAAAAGAAATAGAGCCACAGATATACCCTGTTTTCATGAAAATAAGACCCAATTGGAAAATAAGCCCTAACATCATTTTTCAGGATGTTCGTAATATAAGCCCTACCCCAAAATAAGCCCCAGTTAAGATAGTCAGCCAGATGGACGCATTTAGTACTGTATTACCCCGAAAATAAGACCTAACTGGAAAATAAGCCCTACTGCATCTTTTGGATCAAAAATCAATATAAGACCCGGTCTTATTTTCGGAGAAAGACGGGTAAGTATAATAGTTTGTCCTTAGACTGAGAAAAAAAATGTTATGTAGGCAGCCAGTTGTAAACTTCTCCATTGTCCTTGAGAAGATCCAGTTCCTTGGTGGATCATAGAAAGCCGTTAAAAACAAAAAAAGAAAACCCACACTTTAGAGCAGGGGTCACCAACCCCTGATCCGTGGACTACCACCGGGCTGCACCATGACAGCAACCGAGCCACACAAACAAGCAAAGCTCCATCCACAGGATACAGGCAGCATGCAAAACCACTTCCCCTCTGGTCAGCGGAAAAAACTTTCTCCATGGAACTGGTCCCTGGTGCCTCAAAGGTTTGGGGCTACTGCTTTAGAGGAAATCATTGAGATGCTGGAATTCTTGTAGCTCCATTATGTTCATCTCATTAAATCAAGTTAAAGAGAACTCTTGAGAACAGTGACTGGAAAGAATCCCATTGAGTTTAGGTGTTTGCCAACGAGCCCAGAACAGAAAGCGGGTTCACTTCCAGGTGAAACAAGGTCATTCTTTGCATGTGTGGTCCGTGAGTTTCCCAAAACTTCAGTATTCCATTTTCCATTCTAGCAAAAAGTAACTGAGTTTAGTTAACCTGGATGCCTGCACTTCACACAGCCCTATCCCTGTCTTCCCCTTTCATCCATAGCCAATCGGGATATGGCATCTATTGTCTCCGAAATCATGATGTACGTCCTCATTGTTGTCCTGACCATCTGGCTGGTAGCGGAGATGATCTATTGCTACAAGAAGATCGCTGCAGCGACAGAGGCAGCTGCTCAAGAAAATGCGTAAGGAGAGTGGGATAGGGCAGGAGAAGAAGCACGGGGGAACAATATGGGGCTTCCATGTTCTGACTTCTAACTGTGTTGAGTGGCTACTAGCTACCCAGCGCCCTACAATAACTCGTAAGGCTCTGGGATGATGTTACCAATGGTGTATTTTGAGTACTGATGAGCAGCTCATACAGAAACCAGACATTGCTGTAAAAGAAATGTCCAAGCTGATGTTGACATCAAACATTACTCCTGGCAGCTTCTATGGCACTAAGCGTCATCCCAACAAGGTAGACCAGACAAAGAAACGGATGCCATATAGGTCATTGTAGTTGTTATCGTGACAAATATCGTAACAGGATCTTGCAATGTTGAATGTGCTCTCCCCTTCACTTTATCTTTGAATCAACTACAGAGAGGCTCTCTGAGCTGTTTACTCGAACTAGTTTCTTGACCTAGCCTCAAGCCCCTCTTAACTGACCATTACCTTGGTAGTGGCTTGTCCTCCTATTTTTCAAGGTCATTCCCTATGTCCTGTCCACTAAGGTTCTATGCTGGGTAGGGCCGAGATGGGACAGTGGATAGTTAAGTAGGTATGTACATTAGGAAAGGAAAATCTCTGGAATGAACTTGTCCAGTGGGAGAGAAAGTATACTTGTTTTCTTTCATAAGTTGTTGACAAAGCCAAGATGTGTATATATATATATATATATTTACGTTTCATCATCACCACGTTCATCTCATTGATTAACTCTTTTCAAGGACAGACCAGTGGGGAAATCCTACTGGTTCGCACCGGTTCGGGCGAACCGGTAGTGATAAAAGCTACCGGTTCAGCGAACCGGTAGTAAGAAAAAGTTATCGGCTGGTCCTAACCGGTATTTCCGACGATCAGCTGTGCCGCACGATTTAAAATAGCTAGAAAGCAGGAAATCCTGCTTTCTAGCCACTCTAAATCGCGTGGCACAGCTGTTCTCCCACCTTGCGGTTCTGCTTACCTTCCCAAACCTCCTTTTTCCATGCACAGTGTGCTTTTGGCACATACTGCACATGTGCATGCATGTGCAGCGTGCATTTGGCACCACACATGCGCAGGCAGCAAACCGGGGATTTCACCACTGGGACAGACCTTCCCTTCATGGCTTGTGACTGCACACAACCATTTGAAAAAGCGTGGGGGTTCACATTTCTTAAAATTGTTGGGTCATCAAGCAGCTTCTGCATGCTCAGAAGGAAATTAGGGGAGCTTTGGTAGGCCTAACGTGTCTTACAAGCTTCTAGAGGGAATTGAGTCAAGCTCAACTCCTGGAGACTTGATGGACCATGAATCCTGGCTTTGACCATAAGCCCCACTCATTTTGCATCCTTGCCCCCTCTGTTGGGCTCTTCAGCTTCCCATAAGTCAAAGTATCCTGCAACCGTTGCTCATCCTTCTACAGTATAAGGCTTATTCTGCTGCTTATAACCCTGATTCCTCCTCGTTTCATCCTTCTCCCATCACATCATGCAATGAACTGGCTTGCCACTAGCTTTGTCTCCCTCACAGTGAGATGTTCCAGGTCTCCTAACTTAATCACTTGACTTTATTGGGGTACCAAAGCACACCAGGATTATTATTTCTTTGAAAAGATACTGAAGGCTGGCTTAGCATTTGGTTGTGATGAAACTCCAGCAGTTACTGGAGCTTGTATTGTGTAAGGGAGGAGTGGGGAAAGGTGAGCTTAACCTCATTTCCAAAGTATACACCTTGTCTTTCTGTCTCCTAACAGCTCTGAATACTTGGCCATCACATCGGAAAGTAAAGAAAACTGCACAGGGGTGCAGGTAGCTGAATAGCCCAGGCCAGGCCATTGGCGGGCACTGGGATTACTGGTTTTTATAAGGTATGATCATTATCGTAACCATCACCTAAATGAATATCATACAGACAGTCCACAACTGTACAACTATTCAAAGTTACTGCGGACTTTAAAAAAGCTATTTACAATCCCCCCCTTCAAAGTTAAAACTGCTGTCTTAAAAATAGTCATAAGGAAGAGTCCAGTCATGTGTTACCTTGATGACTACAATGACTTATGATTGAAATTCTGGACTCCATTGCAGTCATAAATCAAGGACTATCTGTAGTCTAGTTGACGTGAGTGTTGATCCCAATGATTGGATAGTTAAGAATCATGAAGGTATTGCCATAAATTGTATTCTGTTCTTTTGCAAAATAGGAGATTTCAAGTCCAGGAAAGTTGACATTTCTAAAATTTGCTAAATTTGTCTGGTATTGCATCAAAAGCTCCAACAAAAATCAGTATATTGATTTATAATTATATTATAATTATATTCTGAAGAATACTTGAGAAATGCTGGTGGTTTAGGATTCATTCAAGCTTTTCCCAAAAGCCACCTGTCCAAATATTATAATAGGCAACGTAGTGCCTATTAATATTATTAATAATAGTATCAAGGGTGCCTGGTGCTTTGCAGATGATAAGAGCCAGAGATGTCTCTGCCTCAAATGATTTGAAATCCAAATTTATGGTAATATGGGAGCAGTGAGACAGTTGGGAAATATAACTCCCATCTTTGCATTTACATCTCATCCTTCTATCAGTTGATATTGTTGGAGAGGATTTTGGCTGACTTCTGAAAGAGAAAATGGATCCAAATTTTCGTACTGTTTCCCCCATCAAAATTAAACGGCAGGTGAAAACTCCAAATAAATCTGATTTGATGTGATGTACAATTAAACTTCATTCAAATACACAGACTTTATCATTCTGAAAAAAACACTCTGGTAGCACCTTCTCCAACTAGCAGATTTTATGAGAAGACATCAACTGTGTTTAGATACAGTTGTCTTACAACCTTAACGATTCCAAGTAAGTTTCCACTTCTGTCCCATAATCACTTGGAAGTGACATTCCAGACGTGTTGAGAATAGCACTAGCATTTAGACTTATATACCGCTTCATAGTGCTTTACAGCCCTCTCTAAGCGGTTTACAGAGTCAACCAATTGCCCCCAACAATCTAGGTCCTCATTTTACCCACCTCAGAAGGATGGAAGGCTGAGTCAACCTTGAGCCTGGTGAGATTCGATCTGGCAGTCAGCAGAAGTAACCTGCAGTACTGCATTCTAATCGCTGCGCCACCGCGGTTCATAGACTCATGAGAATCATCCTCAGGGGCTTTCAGGGCTGACTGGTTGAACAGCAGGAAGGTGAAGTTTGACTTTCCTCTCTTCCTTCTGCGGCCTCCCCGAGCTCTGTTTTCGGCTGCAACGGCGTCCTGCAGCCCTCTGTCAGTGAAAATTGAGCTTGGGGAGGCTCCGTTTTCAGATGCAATGGCCTCCTGAAGCCCTCTGCCAGTGAAAATGGAGCTCAGGGAGGCTGCAGATGGCCCACCCAGGCTCCGTTTTCAGCCACGACAGGCTCCTGAAGCCCTCTGCCAGTGAAAACGGAGTTTGGGTAAGCCGTCGCGGCTGAAAACGGAGCCTCGACAAGTGACGTTGAGCTGGCCACGCCCACCCTGGCCTGCCCCCTCTGAGATCAAACACAACCCTGATACGGCCCTCAATGAAATCAAGTGTCAACTTGCAAAGCTTTCAAGTTGCCATGAGCAGGAGGGAGGGAGAACTGAAGTGAATTCCATACATTTTTTCTGACCGCAATCAGGAGGGCGTTAGGTTTCACAGCCAGCCAAAGTGGGTAATTGGAGAATGTGATTTATGACATGGCCAGGGAGGAGGGGAGAGACAGGGTCATAGGGGGACGTAAATCTACGTAGGATCAGTACTGACTGCATCCCAGTATTGCCGGAATGTTGCTCCAAATAAATCACTATATTTCCTTTGAAGTTTGGATCATGGCTCATGAATTAATTAGGGCATCTTTCGGAAACTTGACATCAAGTTTGATACCCCTGGGATAGAAGATTTTAGTAGCTGGTCCCCCCCTCCTCCTTAGCAAGCGATCCACCAATAATGACCCCTGGCATCAGTGTTGTAAAGCTCCCCACTCCCAGGCCTCAAGTCAGGTTATCTTTTGCCATCAAGGTGATCTAATGCTGCTTGTTATTTGCAATTTTCCAGGGATGAGGCTTTGACAAGGAGTCGAGAAGAGGCAAAGTGACTCAGCAGAGCAATCATCAGCCCAGAGAAGAAGTGAGCTGGAGCCAAGCAGCCCCTCCCTCCTCCCCCCCCACTGCACGGCCTCTTTCCTTAATGAAAGCATGCTATTTTTAATACCAGAGCTCTGTATCCAAGCCAGCCACTCAGAGACAGTCATGCATATTTTTCGTGGGAAGGGTGGGTTTCTCCTTAGAAAAGGGAGTTTCGCTCTTTTTAAGTCCCAGGTTATCACCTTTCCGGAGTGGGCATTGCCCCCCCCACCTCCACCCACCCACCCCGCCATTAGCATGAGGAGAACACGGCATGGCGGCTTGCCTCACGTAATGCAAAGCTTGAGGTCCTTTCCCACGGTGGGCCCCCCCACAGGCCGGCCAGAGGCCTCTTTCCTTTAGGAGCACTTGCGCTTTCTGATGTTTTGCACATTTCTTGCGCTTCGAATTCTTTCGGTTACTTCGCAGCCAGCACTTTCGATGGGTCTGAGGAGAGGATCCCAACTTTCTCTCCTACGTGTCAAGATGGATCTGGACTTCTCAGTGGCCACAGCCAGCAATGAGTAGAGACTGGGTAGAAGATAATGACCTAATGGTTCCTAAACTGTGGAGGGAATGCTCGGATGCAAACACCGTCCTAAACTCTGTTGTGGAGTGAACTCTCTGGGGCGGGTACGGATATGTAAATTGTGCCACCCGAAGACCCCGTTCCCAGCCCAGGCGTCCTTCACCTAATTTTCTACCAAGGTTTCCTTCCAAGATGGCTGGCTGGCATATATGGAAGGTCTTTGCAAAGGAGAGACGCCTTGGAATAGAAATCAGATGGAGGAGGAGACTTTTGCTTCTCTCCCACCGTCCTGGAGATGTGGGTTGTCACGGTGCTGTGTGTTGGGGCCTTGGTGGTTGAGCTCGGCCTTGGAATTGGTGCAGACCAACCGTCACAGCAATGCCATCATTACCCCCGTGCCCTCCTCCACATTTCCCCTTCCTGGATCTATTATTACCTTGCCAGGCCATTTTGGCTGTTTGGAGAATACTCTGACCTCCCCTCTGCTCAGACCCCCCCCCCTCTGGGGCTGGTCCTAGGAACCAGCTGCCATCACAATAGAATAGGGTTTGTTCATAAATAAAGATGATTGAATTTCACCCGCTCTGGCTCGCTGATGTCATTCCTATCGTAAGTGTGATGTGTGGCTATAGAACATCTGGATGGGTCTAAGCAGGGGATGAAGAGGTTTTCAGTGGAAGGAGTGGAGAAGGTAGGCCTTCCCTGATAGAGAAGCTCTTTGGCTTCACCCCACCATAATTGACAATTAAAATTTGCTCCTTTATTTAAATCATTTCAACTCTGCCACATCATCATCATCCTCTTTTAACGGCCCCATAATCCCTTATGGGGTGGAGTCTGGGCAACTGAATGAGTGTTATTGGCCGGATACTCTTCTTGTCGCCAATGCAGAGTTTTGTTCAGCAGATATATTCTTATTGTGCCCAGGGAGAGAAATATCTCTCTCTACCTAGGATTGAACTCACAACCTCCTGATTGAGGGGCGAGACTAGCCCACCACACCACCCATTTAACTCTGGCACACATACTGATAAAAAAAAGAAAGAGAATGGGAATAAGTACCAGTTTCTGTCCCAGTCAATCATTCATAGCCTATTCTGTTTCAGAGGATCATCAGCATTTTAATGTGGGAGGATGAAACCCATTCACAAAAATAAAATTCAGGAGGGGGCTGCCAATTGCTAACGCTAGGTTGGTTCTCGAGCTTTTGTAGTAACCTAGTGCGGTTCCAGTTCAGACAGATCAATAAGGTGGCTCAGCATAAAGTACCTTTACGGACTCTATAGAAGTCGATTATTAGAGGTTATAGAAGCTGGCAGGGCTGGCTTTGTAGATCTTGGGTAGGGCTCAGGACAAAAGTACCATCACTGATTCTGTAGAAGCTGGCTGTTTCTAGATAGGAAAAGAATGCTATTTTATTGTCGGTTCTATTTTCTGCTAAAATTAGCATTCACTCAAGAGGCCGTACTGGAACCAAATAAATAAACTCGCAAGAATCCAAGAACTTCTAATTAATAAACTAAAGAAAAGTGAGATAGTCATCACAAAAGAATTAGAGCAACTGCACGAGCAAGCCCTGTTTGCAGAATCCGTATTTTGTCTCTCTATATGGGATAGGCTGTCTAACCCCCTCTTTAGCAAGAGAGGGTCAATTTCCATCAGTTCCTGGTTTTTTATAAGGGTCAGGTCTGCTATCATGCTTTTCATAGACTACAGAATTGCTCTTACAGCTTTGTACAACCTTGGTAAATGGGTCTCGGACAGAGGTGGTATTCAGCTGGTTTGGACTGGTTCGCCCGAACTGGTAGCAGAAATCGCTGGTGGGCCCATCCGCCCTGGCTCTATGCCAGCCTATTTAGGCACATTTTTGAGACGGGGCGCATGAGCGGAAGGCGCACCCGAGCAAAGCACATGCATAGAAGGCTGGGTGCATGCATGGAAGGCAGCTGTGCACGCAAACCGGCCGTGCACGCACACGAAGTGAGTGTGCGCACATGTGGCGAATCGGTAGTAACATAATGTGAAACCCACCGCTGGTCTCAGAGACCCAGTTTGGTGTAATGGTTAAGACATCAAGCTACGAACCGGGATACTGAATTGTAGTCTTGCCTTAGGCACAAAGCCAGTTTGAGTGAGCCAGTCAGCCCGCTCTCAGCCCTAAGAAGGAAGCAATGGCAAACCACTTCTGAAAAACCTTGGCAAGAAAACTGCAGGGATTTATCCAGGCAGTTTCCCAGACTCACAAATCCCCCCTCCCCCTCTCCCTCTCCCTCCCTCCTTCTCTCTCTCTCTCTCTCTCCCTCCCTCCCTCCCTCCCCCTCCCTTCTCCCTCTCTTTCTCTCACAGAGAGAGAGAGAGAGAGAGAGAGAGAGAGCGCAAATGAGAAATCTTAGATCTTGAAGAATGATGTTTTCTGGCACCATCTGGTGGCAATTGCTCAAAGCATACTTGTGAGTCAAGAAAATGAAGCTTCAAAACAATATCTTTAAAAATAACATGCATAATTTGCAATCCTCAAAATCCATAAAATGACTTCATAAACTCAATAAATAACTGCATATTAACACTCTAGCTATATTTGTACACACTTTACTAAGCTGGGTTTATGTTTGGGTTTTGTTCTTTGGAGGAAAAAAAATAGAAGAAGAAGAAGGAAGAATAGTATTTCGGATGAAAAGGTATATAAGGTAGCAAGCCACAATCAAGATATGTTAGATGTAAAACATATCACCCATCATTATTGGTCAGGAAAAGGCTTCCTCTTATCATATTATGCCATTATTTTATCACCACACTTTGTAGCAGACCCTTATGCTCTACAGACCTCCATTCATTCAGCCATGCTTTATTTTATGACCTGTCCCAGCCAGCCAGCCCCTGGAGATGTCTCATGAGAACGGTTAGCATTTCCCTAGCCAAATGCTAATTGGACCTATTTCTCGGCAATGAGACAAATACATAATGTTAGACGGAAAAAGCCTGGCCGCAGGAAGGGCATTGCTAGTTAATATTAAACACTCTGTGCAACCTGTTTTAATTACAAGGCCTGCTAATTGTGGAAATGCCTCCCGGGTGCTAAGTAGCTCTGAAGTGTAAGAAACTTCTTGTTTCTTTTCTCCCCTCCCTACATCTTCAAGTTTCCAAGCTGTGATACTATTTTCTCTCATCCCTTGGCATTTTCTCAAGGGCCTCCCACCTCTGGGTAGGTGAATTGCCCATTCATGAGGGCCCTCCACAGCCATTACAACAAACTTAATATTCTTTGGATCACATTCCAGACTCTTAAGTAGATGGCACAGCGCAGAGTAAACCAGAGCGACAGTCGTAGTAAGCAGTACAACTCAGGGAATTGCAGGGTTATGATGCATTTTTAAAAAAATAAATAAAGACAATCTGATCTCCACCAATTAAAAGATTTTTTTAAAAAAAATTTGCTTCTTTGACTCAAAATGCATTCTCTGTCCCTGATTTTATCATTGTACATGAAGCTGTATCTCTCCACAATCTATAATGTACATCTACATCTATCAATGGAAACTTGGGTTCATGTTCAGAGTTCAGGAGAGTCCACGAGGAATTTAAAAAGTCAAAATGGAGTTGGTGATTGAAAAAAAAAGCAATACTTGGACCAAAATTGGGGTTCAGTCTTGCTGTTAAAAGGATCAAATATCTATCGTAGGCAGCGGTGGGCTTCAAAATTTTTAGCAAGCGGTTCTCTGCCCAGTTGCTGTGTGCAGATTTGCCAAGACTCCAAGTAACATACAGAGAGATGGAAAAGGACAGTGATCCTGGAGCAGATCAGAGATGTCATCCTTTATTGCTCTGATGTAGATCATCTTAGGGAGATGGAATAAAGATAGTTTTCCTTTGGGATTTCCGACGCCTTCGTACAGTGACAGTAACAGGAGAAGGATCCAGGGGCATGCCTGGGATTGGATGCATCGTGCAAAACTGCAAGAATCAACATGAAAGGTTTATTGTCATATTCTGCCCATTTTGCTTAAGTGGTGTCCTCTCTAAATTTAGGAAGAATAAAAACATGAAACCCATGGCCTAGCACATTGATCAAATCAGTGGCTTATTCAGTAAGGTATCGTTAACCACACATGGTTTAGTGCAGTGCTTCTCAACTCTGGGCATTTATGATGTGTTGACTTCAACTCTCAGGATCCCCTAGTCTTGAAGTTGGTCACACATCTTAAAGCATCCAAGGTTGAGAAACACTGGTTTATTGTAATGTGTGAGCCCCGTCACTGAATACAATTTGAAATATTGTATTAAGCTGGCTGGGAAAGGACAAACTTCTCAGTCATCATTTGAGTGGCTTTGGATCAATCATGTCTTAGTCTAATGTAGGAGTCAGCAATCTTAAACAGGATAGGATAGGATAGGATAGGATAGGATAGGATAGGATAGGATAGGATAGGATAGGATAGGATAGGATAGAATAGAATAGAATAGAATAGAATTAAAAGTTCTGTTTTCTTCTGAAACTTTTCTTTTCTTGGATTTATCCATGATTGGCCTACCAGGGGTCAAAAAGCACAATAAATCATGTGCTGGCAGGTGTTGCACATTGGCGGTTATGACACATATTTTGAGCAACAGGGAGCCGCAGCAGAGGGACGAAAGAGCCACATGCGGCTCCAGAGCTGCGGGTTGCTGAGCCCTGGCCTAACGTATCTCATGGAATTATTGGAGTATGAAATAAAGTTGGGGAGAGAATCACAGACACTATCTTGACATCCTAGTAACGAGGGCAAGTTAGAAATACGGTAAGTACATTTCCTGGTCCCAAGTATTTGAGGAACATATCTGAATAGTAGACAACGTTAGGTTGATCCATCAGATTTGCTCTCGGGCGTGTTTTTCTGACTTTTTAGAGACCAAACATTATACCAAGTATATTTATTTATTATTTATTTATTTATTATATTTCTATACCGCCTTTCTCCCATAGGACTCAAGGCGGTGTACAGTCAAGAAAAATATAGACACACAAACATCATAAAATTGCTAATTAAAATTATTACTTAGTTTGGTCAATTAAATAAAACCCAGAATTAGATAACATTTAAAAAATCATTCACATGTTTGTATGTTTAGCCCTGCCTGTTGGAACATCAGGGTCTTGAGGGTACGGCGGAAAGCACGGAGATCAGGGATATTCCGTATCTCCGGGGGCATTTCATTCCAAAGGGTTGGAGCCCTCACAGAGAAGGCCCTCCCCCTGGGAGTCGCCAGTCGACATAATTTGACTGACGGTACCCTGAGTATTCACCGAGCCCCAGAGCAGTATATACCTTGTAAGGTGGACTCCATTTCCCCGTGCCTGCCACATTGAGAGCTCTGGCACGGATCACGTACGCGGTGCCAGGAGTCAGGTTTTCCAAGTTCTCTTCTGTCTGTGAGCAGAACCAGTGGATATCTTTCCCTTGGCCTTCTAGCTTAGCCTCCTGCAGTTGCAGCTCATAGAAGGATATCAACTCACCGTTTTGCGGGCCGGCCCAAGAGACCTGCATAGGGGAGACAACTTGACAATTTGTACTGGAACTCACAAGCAGGGATCGACTTGTCTGCAAATACAATTGCTTCCCGAGAAAGTTGGGTTAACATCGGGGTGGGATTGAAATTTTTTAGCAATCAGTTCTCTGCCTGGTTGCTGGGTGAGCGTGGCCATGGGGGTGTGGCCTACTTGGCCTCCTGCACCACGGTGGGTGGGTGTGTTTTCACCCTCCCCAGGCTCTGGAGGCTTTCCTCGAGCCTCCGGGAAGACGAAAATGGCCTCTCCCAGGTTCCTGAGGCCCTCCGGAGGCCAGAAATGGGCCCGTTTCTGGACTTCGGTACTTCCGGTAGGTCCATTTTTCAACCTCCCCAGGCACCAGAGGCTTTCCTTGAGCCTCTGGGAGGGCGAAAATGGTCTCCCCAGACTCCAGAGGCCCTCTGGAGGCTGGAAGCTGGCCCGTTTCTGGCCTTCCCAAACTTCAGGTAGGCCCGTTTTTCGCCATCCCCAAGCCTCCATGTGCACCCTGCACCTCCCTGCATCCAAAACGGGCTGCGTGGGGACTTCTGGGAGAGGTGGGGTGGGGGAGGGGCCACCCAGGAGTAGGATTTGGGGGTTCTCCGAACTGCACAGAATCTTAGCTAGAGGTTCTCCCGAACCCCTGCAAACCCGCAGCAGCCCACCCCTGCTTAGGGCTTGATGGTACATGAGAAACAAGCTGTGGTGGATTGCTCAACAAATAGAGGAGGAACAATTTCTACTAAGGAGAAGTAAGCCCGTTAACAGAAATCCGGTTTTGCTGCACATGAATGGTGAAGTTTGTTCATTCGTGCGCAAGAAGCTCACCTTAGCATTGATGGTGCTGACCGTGTGCTCCTGGATGACGGGCTCTGGCGGCAACTGCACATACACAGGGGAATCCGATCCGCTGTCTGAGATGCTGGTCTCTCCATCGCTTACGTCCAAATTGATGAGGACGCTTTCGTTCTTGGTGCTGCACTTCGAGCGAGCTGGTGGAGGCTGGCGGGCTTCTTTCTGTGGCACCTTCATGCCAGCCAGCAGGTCATCCAAGGTGTGAGGCAGACTGCCCGTGGAGTAGAGGATGTTCTTGGAGCTCTCCACGGTGTTGCTCAGGCCATAGCTGGAGGTGTCGCTGCTGTCGCTGGTGAGCATTGAGTGGTTTCTGTATAGCTGAAACTGAACGGAAGAAGAAAAAGAAGAAGAAACATTTCCCCACCAAGAAGCAGACCTAACTTCTTCTCCTATTTCTTCTGAGGCATCTGCAGGGGGGACAAAAAAAGGCAAGATGGAAGATCCATCACATTTTTTGACAGGTCTGATAACTTTGATTTCAGGGTCACAATTGTCATTTTGATTATTTTGAACCTCCTTCCTTCCTTCCTCCCTCCCTCCCTCCCTCCCTCTTTTTCTTTCTTTTCTTTCTCTCTCTCTCTCAATCTTCCTTTCTTTTTTCTTTTATTTTCTTTCCTCCTTCCTTCCTTCCTTCCTTCCTCCCTCCCTCCCTCCCTCCCTCCCTCTTTCTTTTCTTTCTCTCTCTCTTTCTCAATCTTCCTTTCTTTTTTCTTTTATTTCCTTCCTTCCTTCCTTCCTTCCTTCCTTCCTTCCTTCCTTCCTTCCTTCCTTCCTTCCTTCCTTCCTTCCTTCTCCACGCAAGCTTTTCTCCAAGTTAAGAACCTCAGCTTGACTTTCTATCCTCTCTAGAGTCACACTTAAGGGAACAAGCAATGGCACAGCATCCAAAATAGTTACGACCAAATTAAAAATTGAGATTTGATCCAAATATGCTGAGCCCACAGCACGCCTTAAGTCCACATTAGAAAGCCACCTTACGGTCCAGTGAGTTTTCTAGGAGAGCCAGTGTGGTGAAATGGCGAAGGCTTTGAAGTGGGACTGTGAAGAAGATCCAGGTTGACCTTAGGATTCCATGGTTGATTTGGAGTCAGCCATTCCCAATTAGGCTAATCTACCTTGCAGGGATGTTGTGGAATTAAAATAAGTCTTGCCCCATCTAATTATACCCCAGGTAGGGTGTAATTATAATTGTAAATAAAATATAATTCTCTCTTTTTTTCCCCCTGACCTTCCTTAACAATTCATCACTTACCATTTTCTAGAGGGGTGAGGTCATATCTTTAAGAAAGAAAATATCTGATAAAAGTTATTTATTGCAAGATACGTTGATATGATGATCACCTCAGAATATGTTTGGGCCTTTGAAGTGGCAGCTGGTCACTGGAACGAGACAATGTGAACGCTTCAGATCATTACAACGGGAAGACTGCGAAGCTAGAGACTTTTCAAACTTTAAATATATTAATGTCCAAGTATACAGAACGTAATTTTAGGACGTACATGCAGTTCACACTCAGAGGGATAGGTAGCAAATGATGCCACTTCCAAAACAACACGTGACCCATACACATACCTGTACACACACATTATCATGTTAGTACATGATCATTGTACATCATTGTGTCCCCAAAACTCACTTCAGTATTAAGTCATGGCATTCATGTGATGATGCCGCACATATGTTCCATGTCCATGGAAAAGGAGAAGGAGAAGGAGGCCGCCTATGGGGTCCTTGGTGCTCTCTGAGCTTTGGCAGATGTTTCATGATCCATCTAGGAATCTCATCAGCGCTAGAAGGGAGTGGAAGAGGAAGTGGAGTGAAGTGGAGGAGGAAGAGGAGAAGAGGACTGTGGGGTCCTTGGTGGTCTCTGAGCTTGGTGGTTTTCTTGCAGACATTTCATGACCCAACACATTCTCACTTCATGGGGAATAGGAGGAGGAGGAGGAAGGGGAAGGGGAAGGGGAAGGAGGAGGAGGAGGAGGAGAAGAAGGATGGAGATTTGTAAGTCTACTATATGTTCACACTAGCAACACTACTGGAATCCAAAATTGTTCTCTCTGTCTCCCCTGGCCTGATAAAAAGGGCTCATTAGAACTCCAATCCTGCTTTTCAAAACATCTCCTCTTCTTCTCAAGTCACAGAGCCAGAGCTGACTTACCCCCACCAGAGGCTTCAGTACTGACAGAAAGAGTGTCACCTTGAGAGACTGTTGCTCTGGGTACCTGGCTCAGAAAGGTCATTATTTGCTTAGCTCTCATTATGCCACAGTGATGCCCTCTCCTATTATGACCAGGTGTGCCTATAAAGACAGGTGTGCCCTCCAAAGTCTAAGACCCGGAGTCTTTTTTTCTTTATGTAAACAAGAGGAGGCAAGCGAAGTCATGCCGTCGCACACACTCCATTAGAAAGAACGCACGCACACTCTTTGTATATACACAGCTGTGCCCCAGGGAGGTGCATTTTCGACCAGGATACTCCAAGGTGGAGAAGAGATCTGTGCATCTGAAGAGTTGGTGTGGCACAATCACAGGACAACCATTCGGTTGAGATCTGCATATGTGGGACTGATTGGGCTAGAATAGATCTTAGGGGCGATACCATTTCCAGCCTCCAGTGGGCCTCCGGAGCCTGGGGAGGCCGTATTTCCCCCTCACGGAGCTCGAGGAAAGCCTCAGGAGCCCTAGGCCACGTCCACCATGGCCACGCCCACCCAGCAACTGGGTAGAGAACCCCTTGCTAAAATTTTTGAAGCCCACCTCTGTCCAGGGCGTAGGTTGAGAACTAAAGCAGGGATGGGAGATACACTACTTTTGGCTCAGTTTTTCTTACTCTGTACAAGGGACAAGTTCAGGGGGTAAGAACTGCTGTTTTCTTGGCTGCCCCTGCTTCAACTTGCTTTCCCCCATTCCCTCCCACCCCCCCGGCCACGTTTCAACAGCTGCCCAGGCTGGCTGCCCAGGTAATCAGTAACTGAGCATACAGGTCTCAGAGGTCTCGTCCCTTTTACGTTTGAAGCATTTTTCCTGTTTTGGCAGGAGTGAATGATCCACGGACCCCTCCCCTTCCCTGTTACAAATGGTTCATTTACTTTGCCTAAGCGTCTCCTGCCTGTTCCAGATCCCACCACTGACGAAAGGCCTTCTGGGTTCTCTAGTGTGGAAAATCTCACAGACCCAAGAGAAATCGGTGGGCTTTCCCCCCCGACATGCTCACCTCCCGAGTAACTTAACCATGTTTCACTCAGTTAATCCGATTTTCTGGATTTGCATGACCATTCGATTGTGTTCACATGGCAGGTTTAAGCAGGTTTATTCAGGACAAAACCCCGTTGTGCTCACATCACACATTAAGCTAGGTTAGCTTTTAACTTACTATGAGTTGGGGAGCTTAGGGCACGGTGCAAAGTGAACTGGCACGACTATGGTGCCATGACATCATTTACAGAACAGCTTAATTTGATCATTGAGTCAACCTACTTCCTGTGGCACCCTAAAACACAATTGGATAGTTTGCAGTCTTGTCCAAACTAATTTTCCTTTCCTTTCCTTTCCTTTCCTTTCCTTTCCTTTCCTTTCCTTTCCTTTCCTTTCCTTTCCTTTTTTTTCTTTCCTTTCCTTTCCTTCTTTTCTTTTTTCTTCTTTCCTTTCCTTCTTTTCTTTTCTTTTCCTTTCTTCCCTTCCCTTCCTCTCCCTCCTTTCCTTCACAACTTTCTTTTATTATTAAGCAAACTCTCTTATCTTTGTAGCATTTTCAGGAAAGCTGCAGGGTTCTTTTTAGTTCAATACAAACTGCGGCTGAATAATTAATAATTTTATGTATTAGGTTTCAATCTGCATGAGAATTAATGGTTCTTTTATTTAACCAGACCCAATTTAGTGTTGTGGTTAAGCAGTTCTGCTGCCATTTGGGAAGGATCGTGGCAGAGCTGGAAAGAGCTAAGCAGGATGAGACACCACCAAGAGATCCCAGGAGGGTGGGCTAAACCAGAAAGCTCCCCCTGTCCCCTCCAAGAATTTTTTTTAAAAAATTTGATTTATATGCCGCCCTTCTCCGGAGACTCAGGGCGGCTTACGATGTGCTAAGCAATAGCCTTCATCCTTTTGTATATTTATACAAAGTCAGCTTATTGCCCCCACAATCTGGGTCCTCATTTTACCTACCTTAGAAAGGATGGAAGGCTGAGTCAACCTTGAGCCTGGTGAGATTTGAACTTGCAGTAATTGCAGGCAGCTGGTGTTAATAACACTGTTAATAACAGTGCTTTAGTATGCTGCGCCACCAGGATAATCCCCATTATCTTGGGAAAAGGCAACCCAACGACTTCTGTACATGACCTTATTCATAAAGTCACCAGGAGGTGAGGACTCAAAGCCGACTCCTTGCCTGCTGGGGAGAAATCTGCATTTATCTCCTGCTTGGAGAGGACTGCAGCTTGTTCAGGGGGGTTTAGAAACAGGTGGGACTCATCCTGTCTTAGGCAGAAAGCCAGCCAGTCACTCTCTCTCGGCCCTAGGAAAAAGAGCCTTGGTGGCGCAGCAGACTAAAGTGCTGTTAACTAGCACCAGCTGCCTGCAATTACTGCAAGTTCAAATCTCACTAGGCTCAAGGTTGACTCAGCCTTCCATCCTTTCGAGGTAGATAAAATGAGGACCTGGATTGTGGGGGCAATAAGCTGACTTTGTATAAAAAAGAACACCGCTTGGTGGGGGGGGGGGGCAAAGCCCTACTAAGCAGGTATATACAAAAGTATGAAGGCTATTGCTTAACGCATTGTAAGCTGCCCTGAGTCTCCGGAGAAGGGCGGCATATAAATCGAACCAATAAATAAATAAAATAAATAGGAAGGAGGCAATGACAAACCACTTCTGAAAAAGCTTGGCAAGAAAACTGCAGGGATTTGTCCCAGCAGTTTCCCAGTCACAAATTCCTTCTCATTCTCTCCCTCCTTCCCTCTCCCCTCTCCCCCTTTCCCCTCCCTCCCTCCCTCCTTCTCTTTCCCTCCCTCTTGTGTGTGTGTGTGTGTGTGTGTGTGTGTGTGTGTGTGTGTGTGTGTGTAGGGGGGGACTTATGCAGCGATCGGCTCCTCCTCTTTCGCTGGTGCAAGTTTCTTGGCTCCCAGGTGCGTCCTCAGGTAGCCCGGACAATGGTCTCTTTGAGAAAGCAGTGAGGCTGAGCCGGGCGAGGGGGTGGGGGGGAGAGAGGGTGGCGGAAGAGAGCAGCTGCTTTCCTCGCCTAGCGACGCCCCTCTAAGAAGGCGCAATTCCAGGCGGCGGCTTCTTCTTCGCAGCCCTCTTTATGTGGCAGCTGTCTTTGAAAGCTGAGATCCCCGTCAGGAGCCTCTGCTGGGCTGGGGAAGGGGCCCCACCGCGAAGCATTGGGATCCCAGACATCCACCCTTCCCATTCCGCCTACTCTAAAGAACAGGATTTTTCTGGCTCTCCAAGGTCCGCCGGAGAGGCAAGGAGGTCGATGGACCTGGAAAATGTCAAGACTCAACACCGCAGGAGACCCGAACTTTGCTTTGCTTGCATCTCGTTGCTGCTCCGCTGAGATGCCCCCTGGCTCCCTAATTTAGGAACCCTTAAGTTGTTGGGGTTTTTTTGCTTTAATTTATATGCCGCCCTTCTCCGGAGACTCAGGGCGGCTTACAATGCGTTAAGCAGTAGCCTTCATACTTTTGTATAAACCTGCTTAGTAGGGCTTTCGGGGCCTCCCTAAGCGGTGTTCTTTTTTATACAAAATCAGCTTATTGCCCCCACAATCTGGGTCCTCATTTTACCTACCTTTGAAAGGATAGAAGGCTGAGTCAACCTTGAGCCTGGGGAGATTTGAACTTGCAGCAATTGCAAGCAGCAGATGTTAATAACAGTGCTTTAGTCCACTGTACTATCAGGCTCTTATAACCCTGATAGTTAACATCCCCCCCCCCAAACAAAAACAACCATCTCTGGCCATCTGCCCCAAGAAAAAACCAGGATCCCAGCCTGGAGGCTTCCCAACTTGGGATCGGTTCCAACGTTCCAGCTGGGACACGCAACCTCGACGTCGTCGTCGCCTTTCCTCCACTCGAGCCCTTCGCTTTAGTGACAGAATATCGAAACAGCCCAAGCCCCGCCCATCGCCCTCTAGCCCCGCCCTCTAACTTTCTCCCCCTTAGGCGTTGACGCGTTCTCTTTCCTCCGTCTCAAGCCCTTCGCCGGCACTGCGATCTCCCGGTCCATCACCTGCAGGCTTCGTTTCTTTTGTCTTCCTCGCCGCCCCTCCGCGATCGGCCCGGGAGGGATCAACAGCTGGTTGGGCGCAAAAGCGCTTCTCCGCCGGCAGCGCCTCCGTCCCGTCCCGGCGATGAAGAGCGCGGCTCCCTGGGCTGGAAGAAGGCGACTTCCCCGCGGCTGTGCAGACTGGCCCCGCAGCGGTTGAGGCGGTGGAGGAGCGAGGTGAGGAGGGTACAAGATCGCCCAGGCTCGCTTCTCCCGAAAAACCCGGTTTTTTGGAGAGCAAAGTTGGTTGCCCTGCTTTGATAACCAAAGTCCCTCCCCCAATCACTGTGAATTTGTGTGTGTGTGTGTGTGAGAGAGAGAGTTAGTTAATTTGTGGGAGCAGGTTGGCAACGACTATTTTTACACCCCTATCTTAGGGTCAGAAATAAAGTCACCAGGATGCTTTCTAACACTTTTAAAAGTTGTTTAAGATAAAGGTAAAGGTTCCCCTCGCACATATGTGCTCGTCCAGAGGTCTCCAACCTTGGCAACTTTAAACCTGGAGGACTTCAATTCTGGGAGTTGAAGTCTGCCAGGCTTAAAGTTGCCAAGGTTGGAGATCCCTGTGCTAGTCGTTCCCGACTCTAGGGGGCGGTGCTCCTCTCCGTTTCAAAGCCGAAGAGCCAGCGCTGTCCGAAGACGTCTCCGTGGTCATGTGGCCGGCATGACTCAATGCTAAAGGTGCATGGAATGCTGTTACCTTCCCACCAAAGGTGGTCCCTATTCTTCTACTTGCATTTTTTACCTGCTTTCGAACTGCTAGGTTGGCAGAAGCTGGGACAAGTAATGGAAGCTCACACCGTTACGTGGCACTAGGGATTCGAACCGCTGAACTGCCGACCTTTCGATCGACAAGCTCAGCGTCTTAGCTATTGAGCCATCGGGTTTCTGAATTAAGTTTCTGAATTAACTTTTTCCCGAATTGGCATTATTGAACCGAATTGTCCCACCACACCAAATCACACCAGAAGCGAACTAGGTTAAAAACAGGTTTGTTATTGATCCTAAATTTCCTGAAATTCAGCTGCTTTCCTCAGAGAGGCCAGAGAATCAATTTGTTCCATAACAATCCAGTTGTTTGCTTGTCCCAAAGCTGGATTAACCCTTGGCTGTTCTGTTACACATCAGTTAACTTTTGCTTTTTTTCATTAGAGGCAGATGAGGCGAGTTGCTCAGAACTGATTTGGTCGTCTAGGCCCCAAATGGGTAGGATCTAAATGTTAAAATGTCTCTCTTTGTGGTGTTTGAATAGGGGGAGAATTCAGAGAAAGTTTACCTACTGATTAGTATCCATAGTTATTTCATGAAGATAAAGTAACTGTTAGATTCCATGGCATTGATTTATCCGTATCATTGCAATCTCGCTGGAATAAATTGTTCTTCTGCCAGGGCCACTTAAATGTAATATTTCTTGTGACTTTCTAAATTAATTCATGCTTAATTAATTAGTTCAAGAAACTAATTTGGCTTGGATTCTATAAAAAGCCGTTCCTTTCTATTCTTTTATAGGGATGTGGTGGCTCAGTGGCTAAGACACTGAGTTTGTCGATCGAAAGGTTGGCAGTTCAGTGGTTCAAATCAGGGGTGGGTTCTACTTACCTTTATTACCGGTTCACAACGGGAGCACATGTACGCTTCTGTGCCTGCGCAGGGCGTCCATTATGACATCCGGGAGGGTGGGTGAAGCCTACTGCTGCTTTTACTACTGCTTTGCAAGAACCGGACAGAACCGGGAGCAACCCACCACTGGTTCGAATCCCTTGTGCTGCATAACGGGGTGAGCTCCCATTACTTATCCCAGCTTCTGCCAACCTAGCAGTTCGAAAGCATATAAGAAATGCAAGTAGAAAAATAGGGACCACCTTTGGTGGGAAGGTAACAGTGTTCTGTGCGTCTTTGGCGTTTAGTCTTGCCGGCCACATGACCACGGAGACATCTTCGGACAGCACTGGCTCTTTGGCTTTGAAACGGAGATGAGCACCATCCCCTAGAGTCGGGAACGACTAGCACATATGTGTGAGGGAAACCTTTATCTATTCTTTAGCCAGAGATACACCCTGAGTTGTAATACTTCATGGGGCCACTAAGTGGCCACAAAGAGCCACAGAAAATCCCATCCCTTTGCTACCCTCTAGTGACTCTGTATTTAGTAGCCCTATCTTAGTGATGGCCAAAATTTGACTTCAGAAGAGATGGACAAAAATCTCTTCTGCTGTGCCCCTTATTCTGCAGATGGTTCCTGGCAGGATTATCTGAGGTTGGGTCACTTCTGATAGCATCCTAAACCTGAAACTCAGGTGACCAAAATACAAATGTTGCATTCATTTATTATGCCATGTCCAAACAAATAAACTATGCTATGGTTTAATAGGATAACCTGGTTCATGCAACTTGCTTAAATAATGGCTGGGTTCTCTGAATGAAATAACAGGGTTGAGAGCAGTGGTGGGATTCAAGTAATTTAACAACCGGTTCTCTGCCCTAATAATTTCTTCCAACAACCAGTTCACCAAACTGCTCAGAAAGTTAACAACCGGTTCTCCCGAAGTGGTGCGAACTGGCTGAATCCCACCATTGGTTGGGAGGGACCTTGGAGATCTTCTAGTGACCAGCTCTAGCGTTCAAGCAGGAGACCCTATACCAGTGATGGCGAAGGTCGTGCGGAAATGTCATGTGCGCGCGTCAGGGCCACGCTCCGGAAAAGCCAAATTTCTGGGTTCTAATGCGCATGCATGCCTGATGATCAGCTGGCCGGCAGGGATGCGCGAACCAGTTTTTGGCACTGCCGTGTACGTGAAGGACCGCTGATCGTCATGCACGCATGCGCACCAGAAACCCGGAAGACAGACAGGGAAGGCCGCGCGTGATGGGCGACTTGGCTTTGCGTGCCACTTTGGGCACGCGTGCCATAGGTTCGCCATCACGGCCCGATACCATATTGAACTAGTGTCATCGGTTTGTGTATTTGTGTGGCACTTTAAACTCTGCAGAGAGCGAGCCTGATAATTTTGCAATTTAAATACCTGAGAGTAAAGAGGATTTTCAAACGTTTTAGAAAGATGATCTAAGTCCACAGCAATAAAGGAGTCATTGTATTTTAAATTTCACCTTTTCATCAAACGTACGCTCTGACCCCTTCAGTCACTACTCTGGAGTATTCTATGAATGTAGCGAAGGTAGGGGTGGATGATGGAAGAGTTTTTCCATTTCCACGGTTAATGTCTTCTTTCCTTTTGAATACTTTTCTGAAAGAGATTGTCATATAAGGTTATATCTGCATTTTGGATATGCTCTTCCCAGTAAAACAGTACTAGACTGTGCTGGGCATTCTGGATGGATTCATATCACTTGCTTGACTTGGGGAAATCTAGATTCACATCATGCGCTGAACAAAGTAACCCAAAGCGGTTGGGATCTCACAGAATGCTGAGTCATCAACACAATTGCAGCACCCTTAACCCCAATGCAAAGTCAGCAGTCTTAGCATTTTATCCAAGCGTTGCCTGAAAAGAACCACGGACATATTTTAGGATAACAGTAAGAGAGTTGGAAGGGACCTTGGAGGTCATTTAGTCCAACCCCCTGCTCATGCTGGAGACCTATACTAGGGATTCAAACCGCCAAACCTCCAACCTTTCTGATCAACAAGCTCAGTGTCTTAGCCGCTGAGCCATCTAGAAAGTGTAGAGAGGAAAACTAGTTTTCCAGCTGTTACTAGCTGGAGCAATTGAACTGTCCTTTAAAATTTGGTGTCTGTTTGCAAAGTGTCTCTTTGATTGAGCTAAAGGTGCCAAAAGAATGCAGAGAAAAGCAACAAAGATGATATGGGGACTTGAGGATAAAACATATAAAGAACGGTTGCTGGAACTGGGTATGTTTAGTTTAATGAAAAAAAAGGACTAGGGGAGACATGATAGCAGTCTTCCAATATCTCAGGGGCTGCCCCAAAGAAGAGGGAGTCAAGATATTCTCCAAAGGACCCGAAGGCAGGACAAGAAGCAAAGGGTGGAAACTAATCAAGGAGAGAAGCAACCTAGAACTAAGGAGAAATTTCCTGACAGTTAGAACAATTAATCAGAGGAACGAATTGCCTCCAGAAATTGTGAATGCTCCAACACTGGAAGTTTTTAAGAAGATGTTAGATAACCATTTGTCTGAAGTGGTGTAGAGTTTCCTGCTTAAACGGGGTTGGACTAGAAGACCTCCAAGGTACCTTCCAACTCTGCTATTCTATTCTATTCTATTCTATTCTATTCTATTCTATTCTATTCTATTCTATTCTATTCCTATTCCTATTCCTATTCCTATTCCTATTCCTATTCCTATTCCTATTGGTCTGCAGTTTGTTTCTCATAATGGCACATAAGATGCAACAGGATACATGCTACAGCAATCTTGAAGCCCCATCCTGATCTGCACACTGATGAAGCACCAAGTTGTTGAGCTACAATTTATTGAATTATTCACAACATGTTAAACCGCAAAATTTGCTTTCTAAACTGCGAAGTCTGATTCATTTATTTTAATCAAAAGCAAGCAGAACCACATTCTGGCCTATTGGAATGCATGAATAGACAAACCAAGCTATCAATAACACAATTAAAAACCAGCAATTTATTAAGCCCATCTTAAATTGTATGGAGGAAGAATTGACGGTGAGTTCTAGTCCCACCTTGGACATAAAAGCCATCTGGGTGACCTTGAGTCAGTCTCACACTCTCTCAGCCCAACCCACCTTACAAGGTTGTTGTTACGGGGAAAATAGGAGGAAGGATTGTTGGATACATTCACCACCTTGAGTTATTTCTAAAATATAATAAAGGTGGGATCCAAATAAATAGATATAGATAATGCCCCTCTTATTTATAATATCTTCATTTAATGATTGCGGTATTTGCTTTATGATCGCTACATTGCTTAAGTGCCACAAAAGAATGATTTACGAACACTTCCTATTGCAGCATGGCTATAAATCCCATTTGAATGATGGACATTTTCTTCCAATATGTACAGGTAGTCCTCTTCTTATAACCATAATTGAGCCTGCAATTTCGGTCATAAGTCATGATGGTTGTTAAACAGCAATAGCAATAGCAATAACCGCTTCACAGTGCTTTGCAGCTGTGATGACCCAGGGCACGGCACAGAGATAACACACACAGCTGGCAGTTCAAACCACCCCTTTATTGCTCCAAATTACACCAAACGTTCCCACAGTTTCTGGCAAGCCCCAGAGCAGAGTGATAACAAACCCCCACACAAACCTCAAGCAGCCTCTGGCTGCAATCAGTCCAGCCCAGAGCTGTCTGCACCAAGGCTGCACGGCAATAAATCCCAAATGTATTTGGCAAAACAAGAACAAATCAAGGAGTTCAGGGAGCAAAAGATCCAGGTAATTAATCCAGAACACCAAAAGGAATGCAAGGACTCTTGGCAAGTTCAAATGCCGGCACCCAACACTTCAGGAACTCAGTGTTTGTTCCCAACAAAAACTCCTCCCCACAGCATCTCCTTAAGTCTCACTCCCCAGGTGTGCCTGGTGAAGATGGGCGGGGCACTCTCCTCGCAAGTATCCTGCTCCATCTGCGCTGATCATGCCTTCTCTGCATTCTCCGAGCCCTTGCATCAGGAGGGGATGGTTCTTACTCCTTGTCTGTGGTCTGTCTCTCCTGCTCATCCTGCCTCTGTTCCTTCCTGCCTGTAGGCCTTACTAATTACGAAAAGCTTTGCCTGGACTGACTCTGCCCTTCCCCAGTTTCCTCCAAGGCCAACAGAGGCTGCCCTTTCAATCACTGACAGTCCTTGTTCCAGCTCATTTTCCCCCACAGATTCAGACTCTGACAGGGGCTTGACAACAGCCCTCTTTAAGCAGTTTACAGAGTTAGCATATTGCCCCCAACAATCTGGGTCCTCATTTTACTGACCTTGGAAGGATGGAAGGCCGAGTCAACCTTGAGCCTGGTGAGAATCGAACTGCTAGCAGTTCGGCAAGCAGATGAGAATTGAAGTAGCTTGCAGTACTGCATTTTAACCACTGCGCCACCACGGCAGGCATGGTCATGTGACATCCTGCTTAACAATCATCATGACTGATGACCGAAATTGCAGGCTCAGTTACGCTTGTAAGTTGAGGATTAGCCGTACACATTGGGAGAAAATGTGCGTCCTGCAAATGGGATTTATAGTCATGCTTCAATATGGAGTCTTTGTAAGTAAAGTCCCATAGTTGGATTGATGCCCTAAGCACAGCTCAACAACGCTTCCCCTTGACGGAAGTGAAATTGCCATGAGACTGAAACAAATATGGGATCTGATGAAGGTCTGCAAACCACACTTTGAAACTTTAGTCACTCATTAAACAATGCAGATTAAAGTCAAACACCGTGGATAAGGGCAACTAAACAAAAAGTTTGATTAAATTCAATTACGGGAGTGGAAGAGTAAAAGGGCTGGTAGCTATGCCCGTGCTTATTTTGCTTAATCGTTAATCCAGAGCTGCAGAGAGACAAACTATCTTCTGGTAAATTACATTCCCCCTTAACATTGAGCATGTTCTTTCCTCAACCACTGCTTTTGGATGTCTATGGAGGTTTTCAGTCAACCAGGTCAGGGGTCTCCAACCTTGGCAACTTTAAGACTTGTGGACTCCAACTCCCAGAGTTCCTCAGCCAGCTTTGCTGGAGTTGAAGACTGTCTACTGTTGACCTCACCCCATTCCTAAGAGGTCTGTAAGGGGTGTGCATAAGCGCACCATCGTGCCTACCGTCCCTGTCCTAATATTCCTTTTTACTCTTACTCTTTTCATGTATTCAAATTATGTTTATACTTTTACCTGTTGTCTTATATATGCTTGACAAATCAATCAATCAATTAATCAACCCTGGCATGCTATGGCCCATGGAGTCACGAAGAGTCGGACACGACTTCACGACTGAGCAACCACAAAATAACTAAATAGTAGAAGCTAAATAACAGCAGATACGTCAATGCTAGTAAGAAATTCCAGGTAGAATTTTTGCAAGCTCTAAGAGGAACACAGGTCAACTCTGGCTGACAAAAAAGTGACTTGTAGCTCTACTGAAGAAGAAGAAGAAGAAGAGACTTGTATCATTTCTTCCTTTCTGATTTTAGGACTTGGGGACTGGACCCAAAGGCTCCTGGGCCTGAAGAGCTGGACTTCCAAACAGCAGCTTTGATGATTAATTGTTTTTGATATGGCTGAAAAAGATGGTGAGTTGAACCGTAGAAAAAGAGAAGGGAAAGAAAAACTCAACATCTTACTTTCCACCTCTAAATACTCAACCTTCCCACCGCTCTTTCTAGTTTGAGCAGGATTTAAAGATGAACATCTTCAGGCATTCAGGAGAAGTGCACAGCTGTTTGCTCACAAGGGAGACCTCTGGCACTTTCTCTCTAATAATAATAAGGGGGTTTCCCTCCCTTCATTTTCATTTTAGGTTCAAAGGTGGAGTTTCTGAAGAAAATCTAGAAAACTAAATATTGTAATAATATAGTATAGACCAGTGGTAAAATCCAAATTTTTTTATTACTGGTTCTGGGCATGGCTTTTTGGGCGTGGTGTGGCTTGGTGGGTGTGGCAGGGGAAGGATACTGCAAAATCCCCATTCCCTCCCCACTCCTGGAGGAAGGATATTGCAAAAACTCCATTCCCACCCCACTCTGGGGCCAGCCAGAGATGGTATTTGCTGGTTCTCTGAACTGCTCAAAAAAATTTCTGCTACCGGTTCTCCAGAAGCTGTCAGAACCTGCTGGATTTCACCCCTGGTATAGACCCAGTTCACATGTACAAAACCAGGTTGTATGGCTTGTTTGCTTTTGGCTTAGCCTGGTAAATACAATGGTACCTTGGTACTCAAATGCTTTGAAACTCATCGAATTTGGTACTCAATGCATTTTGATGTGAAAATTTTGTTCCTTACTCATCGTTTGTTTGGTAGTCAACTTGTCGGTGTTGGCTGCCTTGTGATTCACTACATTATTCCTTATGGGAAAAAATTGTTAGGTATTCATCATTTTTGGTACTCATCAAGCTTGCTGGAACCAATTAATGAGTACCAAGGTATCGCTGTATACCCCATGGCCTTCATATTAGTATGGTGACAAACATCCTAGGTTGGTGCTATGTACAATGGCAGATCCGGCAGGTCATCCTGGATGATTCCACGTTTCTCCATTTCCTCTCCCTAATTTGGGGAAAAACCTCCCTCAGTTACCCTGTTTCCCCGAAAATAAGACCCAACCGGAAAATAAGTCCTAGTATGATTTTTCAGGATGCTTGTAATATAAACCCTACCCCCCAAAATAAGCCCCAGTTAAGATTGTCAGCCAGATGGGTGCATTTAGTACTGTATTTCCCCAAAAATAAGACCTAACCAGAAAATAAGTCCCTAATGTGACTCTTGGAGCAAAAATTAATATAAGACCCGCTCTTATTTTTGGGGAAACATAGTACTAATGGTATCTGAGGAGGTGTTTTTCAACATCTGCTTCTGCCTGGCAGGGGCAGCTCTGAGCTTTGCTGTCTGATGATCTCTCTACCTTCCAGGAGAACTTAAAACGTGCAGCTGGACTCTGCCTAAAGTCATGGCAGTGGGAGCTAGCATCTTCCTGCTCTTGGCTGGAATCGGAGCTGGGATTTGGGCAATAGGTAAGATCCCTTGTGAGTCAGAGAGAGGTTTATTCCTTTATAGCATTTAAATATCCTCCCCGCCATATTAGACCCAACTCTGGATGGGTTCCAGTCAAGAAATTGGAGTCGTTTGTGATGTACAATAAAACCAGTGATTCTCAGCCACAGGTTGGCAGGAATGATGTATACACAACACTTGTATACAACAATAGTTAAGCATGAAAGCTGATGGGTGATCTTGGGCCAATCACCAGGAGATGGTGAGTTCTAATCCTGCCTTAGGTATGAAAGTTGGCTGGATGACTTGGGATCAATCACTAGGAGACTGTGAGTTCTAGTTCCGCCTTAGGCATGAAAGCTGGCCGGGTGACTTTGGGTCAATCACCAGGAGTCTGTGAGTTCTAGTTACGCCTTAAACGTGAAAGCCAGCTGGATGACTTTGAGCCTGTCACTCTCAGTCTACCCACCCTATTTCCAAAGGTTTCCCTGCCGTGAAGAGCCAGCATTAACTTCTGTAGAACATGGATTTTGCTTCTGCTGTCGTTGACTTCCTGCTGAGCGATGTTCTAATCAGTCTTCTTATCTCCCTCTGCAGTGGTGTCTGTGCTTGGGAGTGAAAAGGAAAGCTTATATGTGGGTGAGTATGGGACAAAGGGCTGTGGACTCTTCCACCACCTGTGACATAGCCTCACCTTTTCCAGCCTGACGTCTTCAGGAACCGTGGGACTAAAGCTTCTCCAATTCCCAGCCAGTCTGATTAAAAAGCAGCTGTAGCTCAACAACAGATGGGATCAGCGAGTCTACTCGGATGCCACAAAGGAGCAGGGATAGTCCTGCCTTATCACTCACTACCTTTGTTCTATTCAGTTCAGGTGAATTCCGAGGACCTACGCCTGACCGTGTACGATGAGACTGAAGGGAAGTGGAGGCTCCTGTGTTCTTCGTCATCGGATGCCCAGGTGGCAGCTCTTAGTTGTGAGGAGATGGGATTCGTCAGGTACACCAAAAACTTGGCTGCAAGGACAAGGTCTATAGGGGCTTCAGATGGGGAGGTGAGAGGTGTCAGCAAAGATAGCCTGGTTTACATCAACACAGCAACTGGCTGGGCTTTCAGGTGGGCAGAGTTGGTCATATTGATTCAGTGTGATTCCAGCTCTTCTAAGCTATAATGCTCAGATCTTTTCATGCCAATGTAAGATTGTCCCCAGAGATTAAAGGTAAAGGTAAAGGTTGCTTGCGCTGACTGGTTGCTGGCATGCCACAGCCCAGTGCCAGTCCACGGCCCAGGGGTTGGGGACCCCTGCTCTAAAGCCACCTTACCAAGTCATTGGTTGGACGCTGAATTTCTTTGGATTTGTCTCTGTTCCAGATCTCTCTCCCATTCGGTCTTGGATGCAGACAGTGTAGGTGCCAATGGGACATCAGGCTACTTCTGCGTGGATGACTCTCGCCTGCCTTTTGTGCAGAAACTCAGAGAGGCCATTGTTGTGTGGTAAGGACCACTTCCTTCCTCCTACTTTTCCTTCGCTTAAATACATAGACCCAGTGGTGGGATTCAACCAGTGTAACAACTGGTTCATTGAGCGCGCACATGCAGTGAGTTTGAAAACAGCTCTGAAACTTACCTTCTACTGCAGCCCCAGTGAGTAAAACAGCTGACGGGCAGCAATCCGCTCTGCCGCGCCTATCAGCTGGGCTTCAGACAAAGAAAATATAAGTCGGTATAGGGCAGGGGTGGGAGGGCCCAGCTGATCGTTGGAGTGACATGATATACAGTAACTACTTTTCCTAAATTGTCTTTCCATGGGAGATCATCTGATGAAATTGAAGTCTATAATGAAAGATCCCTGGGAACAGAATGCAATCAGTCCATCGTCATTTAAGAAAATCAAAACTAGAGATATTCTGTATGCCACAGAACGTTCAAACTGCAAAAATTGGGAGTTCCTACTTTTCTTGATGATGCCTCTTTACTTCTCCTTCCATAGACGTTGAGTTTTCTTCTCTTTCTCACAGTGAATGTCTGACAGGCCGGTTCCTGGCAACTCTTTGCCAAGGTATGAAACTCACAAACTATTTCAAGGGGCATCTTTCTTTCTCTGCCCCCTTCCAATTCATATCTTTCTTTCTTAACCTTTCTGCAAAAATCTTTCTCAGATTCTTCTCTTATTCACCTGCTACGTCCAACTTTCCTATTCTTCTGATTCACTCAAATCTAGATTTTCCTTCGGAGCTAGTTGGTTTCACCACAAGCGCTCAGCTGGGTTATTGTAATATCCTCATGGTCCTCCTCAGGAATAAGATTTCATTCACGAAGTTATGTGGGATGCGCAAAAGTTGATGGAGTTAGCAGAGATGGCTAAATTGACTGTTTCGATCAAAGAAAAGAACATAAGTACTTTTGTTTCTACTTGGAAACCGCTTCTGGACTTTGTGCTCGAGGTGGGGGGAAAAAAATGAAACTTTGATTTTGGGTTTTACCGATTAGATAGATTGGTTGTTATAGAAATGGCTAGTTTATACCAGTGGTGAAATCCAAAAATTTGTTTATTACCGGTTCTGTGGGCGTGGCTTGGTGGGCATGGTGTGGCTTAGTGGGCGTGGCAGAGGAAGAATACTGCAAAATCTCCATTCCCACCCCAGTCTGGGGCCAGCCAGAGGTGGTATTTGCCAATTCTCTGAACTACTCAAAATTTCCGCTGCCAGTTCTCCGAACTGCTCAAAATTTTTGCTACCGGTTCTCCAGAACCTGTCAGAACCTAATGGATTTCACCCCTGGTTTATACTATTATGGAAAAGTAAAAAGTTGAGGTTTGATGTTACTGTCTTATTCTACTGCACCAGAGGAAGTTGGAAGTCAATGGCCCCTCTTTTTTCTTTTTTTCCTTCTTTTTTACACTTCTCTCTTCCCCTTTCCTTCCCTTTTGTTTCCTACTATTTACTTTTGTATTTTATATTATAAGCTAACAAAAAAACCTGTAAACTTAACAATGAAGTTATGTGGGATGCAAAGTTGCATCAGAACGGGTATTAAACTATCGTATGCTTTGCAGACTGTGGACGCAGGAAGTTATCCGCTGACCGGATTGTAGGTGGCCAAGATGCCAGTTTGGGTAAATGGCCTTGGCAAATCAGCCTACGTTACGATGGGACACATCTTTGTGGTGGCTCCATCATCTCAAATGAATGGGTAGTTACAGCAGCTCACTGCTTTCCAGAGTAAGTCCCAGACTAGATATGTGTATAGAATAACATCCAGATTTGTAATATTGATTGTTCTTAAGAGTTGACCAGATGTTTCTGAGCGCTCACTAGGGAGGTATATCAACTGTTGATGAGCAATTTCAGAGTTCAGAAGTGCCCTCCAGATGTTTAGCTTTCAATCCCCAGAATTCTAAGCCACAGCCATGCCAGCTGGGGAATTCAAGGAACCAGGGGTGGGTTCTACTTACCTTTACTACCAGTTTGCAACAGGAGCATGTGTGCGTGCTTGCTTTGCTCGCATGTGCTTGTGCGTTTCTGCGCATGCACAGATCGTCCATAATGACATCCAGGCAGGTGAGTGGAGCCTCCTGCCAGTTTTACTACCGGTTTGCAAGAACTGGACCGAACCAGGAGCAACCCACTACTGCAAGGAACTGAATGCCCTCTGAAATATACCCTGATTTATTGCCAATTGTAGACTCAAAAAACATTTGCTGTATTTTTCGGAGTATAAGATGGACTTCCCCCCCCCTAAAAGGTGAAAATTTAGGTGCATCTTATAGACTGAATACAGGCGTTATTGACCATCTGAACCCTCTGCATGTTGCGTTTTTGCCTTTCCCGGCCCCCGAAGCATTCTGCAGTGCTCCGCATGGCCCACTTTTGTCAAAAAGGGACCCATTTTTGCCAAAAATGGGCCTGTTTTCGCCACTTCCAAGCCCTTCGCGCATCACGTTTTCGCCCTATCTGGCTCCCAGAAACACTCTGCAGGCCAAAAACAGTTTTTGGCTAAAACAGGCCGTGTGGAGCACTGCAGAGAGCTCCTGGGGGCCTGGAAGAATGAAAATCTGATGCGCGGAGGCCAAAAACTATTTTTTTCTTGTTCTCCTGTAAATTTAGGTGTGTCTTATAGTCCGAAAAATACAGTACACTGGTCTCTAAGGCCCGGAAGATTCCTCGGCTTCCGAAGATTGTGACCTTAGGCCAGGGTCCTAAGTCAAAATAGAGTCAAGTAGTTCACGCTTAACAGACTGTGTGAACTCAGACAATAGGTTTTGATGAAATAAACAAACATTTTGGGCAATGTGTGTGAATCTAGCCACAAGGCTGCTCAGGATATCTGGCCTTCAACTCACAGTCTGTGGGCCTATATCACCATTGAAAAAGGAGAGCCCCCAAACACCACAGGGCTGTTGTTTTTACCTTTTGAAGCAAATGAAATAATTTATCTGGGCAGAGTTTGCACCAAGGTCATTAAAGCCATTTTCTGCATTTAACAAGCCATGTCAAAAAATACCAACCCTAACCAAGGTTACAACGAATCAAATTCAGCTTGCAATGCAAATGCAGCCGCTCGATCCTTAAGTAACTTGATCAAACCTGTTAGATGCACCCTGCTCCCAAGGAATCACTAAATCCAAAGTCTCCACTGATTCCACCTGCTGTCCAACCTTCTCCTTTTGGGTCTGCCTTGCAGGAGGAATCGCGTAGTGAACCGCTGGCGGGTTTTCATGGGAGCCGTATCTCAGCAATCCACGAAGGGGCTGCAGATGGATGTGGCCAGTATTGTGTACCATGGTGGGTACAGGCCCTTTGTGGACCCCAATAGTGAAGAGAACAGCAATGACATTGCCTTGTTGCGTTTGGCCACACCACTCTCCTTCAATGGTGAGTGTCAACTCTGAAGCGAACCTGTCTGAAGGCATCTTTTGCTGCCTCATAGTTGCCATGAACTTTGAGGGGGCGGGGAAGAGATGGGAGAAGTAAATAGACTGGCTAGCAGTCAAAACAAAAAGCTTTCTCGTGGGAACCAAGGTCATCCCAACAGGTGACAGTTGGAGGAGAGAAATGACCAAGGAACCCCTGATCAAACACCTTAATTGAACAATGTGACCTGTGACACTTGGTGGGGAGAAAGAACTGTTCTTTTAATCATGTCACAAATGCGAGAAAACTTTCAGAGTTGGCTTTCACCGGCTGTGCCAATATGATGTATCCAATAAGCATGTTCTTTGAGGAATCTACTTGCCTTGGAGTTCTGCTTTTGGCGGATGCATTACTCGGAACGCTGACAGTGAGAATGCTGCTGGGCAGGAGTTGGGAGGGTCATGACATCACAATGGAAAGTCCACCCATCCTCTGTTTGTGTACAACATCTTCACATTGGTACGAAAGAATAGAGGAGGAAGTAGTATTAGGTATGTTTGCTGCCTTATTTATAAAATAATAAAGGTGGGATTAAAAAAAATCTTAAACCTGCTCTGAGATGTCAACATTGCCCTGGTTATCTTCTCCCTAAAGTTGTGAAAGGCCAGCACCCTCTAGTGAAAATTCCATTGAAAGTCACTTTTCCTTTGTGGAATTACTTTGATTCATCAATTCTCTCTTCCAATTGGTAAAAAAAAGAAAAAAAATTTCGGGCACAGAAAATTCACAGAAGCAACTTGCCACTCATGACCATGAGCCCAAGATAGCAATGTGTTTTTGGGTGTTTTTTTTTTTCCTTACAGAATTCATTCAGCCTATCTGCCTCCCAGCATTGGGGCAAACTTTGGTGGATGGCAAGATCTGTACGGTGACGGGATGGGGCAACACACAATACTATGGTAAGGTCCTCTTGCTTCCATCAGATGATGCTAGAGTTTGTACGGTTGGAGTTCTCAGTCAAGTTGTGTGAGAATTCAATTCAAAAATTCTGCTTTTTGAGGAAGGGAGGGAGGGAGGAAGGAAGGGGGAAGGAAGGGAGGGAGGAAGGGAGGGAAGAGGGAGGGAAGGAAGGAAGGAAGGGGGAAGGAAGGAAGAGAGGGGGAAGAAAGGGAAGTGGGAGGAGGAAGGAAGGAAGTGGGAGGGGGAGGGAGGAAGGAAAGGAGGGAGGGAGGAAAGAAAGGGGAAGGGGGAGGGAGGAAGGGAGGTGGGAGGGAGGAAGGAAGGCGGAAAGGGAGGAAGGAATGGAGGAAGGAAGGGGGAAGGAAGGAAGGAAAGGGGGAGGGGGAGGGGGGAGGAAGGAAGGAAGGAAGGGGGAAGGGGAGGGAGGAAGGGAGGAAGGAAGGAAGGGGGAAGGGAGGGAGGTGGGAGGGAGGGAGGAAGGAAAGTAGGGGGAAGGAGGAAGGAAGGAAGGAAGGAAGGTTGGATGGAAGGCAGGCAGGCAAGCAGGCAGGCAGGCCTGGCCAAAAGGAAGAAAAAGACACACAAAATAAGGGAACTATTTGTAAGAAGCCAGGAGGCTGACCTTAATTGCCCTGCATGGACCTATATCTCACTCATGACTGTAAGCCTCACAACTGCCATTAAGCTAGCAGATACATGTTTTCCGTTGACTGTTCTCCCTACCACTTTCTAAAGGCTGCAGAGTGTATATGACTATTCATTTACAATGGATTATTACATTCCTGCTGAAAATCTAAACTTTGATGCCTCTGTATGGGAAACGCACAACGGGATGCCCGTTTTGGTGTCTTGCTCTTCTTTGAGGATTGCTGGATTTTGCAAACCTCTTTGTGTCATAACAATGAGGCACATTTAAGCTCACATAAATCGGCCTCAGGGGATTGGAAGAGAGATGAGCCGATCTCTGTTTTGAAGCTGCAGCCGAAGTAGCTCAGGAAAAAGTGAGACTGAAGTTCCTTACTTTAATTGGGGCTGCCAGGTGACGCCTGCTGCTTCTCAGTGGAGCTGAAGACATAATTTTTTTCTCCACATGTTTGGCTTTCAAACATCCAGAAGTCCTTCTTCCCTGCTTAAGGAAGTTCTAATTAAAAAAAAAAAAACTTTTGGAAAGACTTTGGGTTGCTAATAGAACATCTCGGATCAACTCAATGATCTGAGGTCCAGGGGTCGGCAAACTGCGGCTCTGGAGCCGCATGTGGCTCTTTCATCCCTCTGCTGCGGCTCCCTGTCACCAGTTGATGCCACAATTTTGAGAGGAGCTTCTGGTTGTGGGGAGCGGGGGGGGGGAAGCATGGCACACCAGGAGGAGGGGCAGGTTTTCCCATCGGCTCCACAATTGATAGGGCTTTTAGTTAGGACAGGTAGAGGAAAAGGTTTATGGAGGCTTGGAGAGGGCGAAAAATGGGCCTACCAGAAGTTTGGGAAGGTCGGAAATGGACCTATTTCCGGCCTCCAGAGCCCGGGGAGGGAAAAAACTCCCCCCCCATGGTGCAGGAGGCCGACTACGCCACACCCACCCAGAAAACAGACAGAGAACCCCTTGCTAAAATTTTTGAAGCCCACCCCTGGAAGCACGGCATCAAGAGAGAACTTAACGACCACTGCAATGAGCTGATGGAAGCACCGGGCTCTCTTGTACAAAGGCACCTTCTGATTCCTCCTTCTTTGTAGGCCAACAGTCTGACGTCCTTCAAGAGGCCAATGTGCCCATCATCAGCACCAGTGTCTGCAATGGCCCCGATTACTATGGCAGCCAGATAAGGCCCAGGATGTTTTGCGCTGGTTTTGCAGCTGGAGGCACAGATGCTTGCCAGGTAGGCATGCTGGCTGGGCAATTCTGGGAATTAAAGTCCTCCCATTTTAAAGTTGTCATAAGGAACACTGCTCTAGAAGTTAGTGTCTTCAGCTTGGTGTTCCCTAGACCCAGGGGTCTGCAACCTTAAATACTCAAAGAGCCATTTGGACCCATTTCCCACAGAAAAGAAAACACCGGGAGCCACAAAACCTGGGTGGGCGTGGCCAACTCGATGTCACTCACTTTTACCAGTCACATGACCCCCCCTAACCACGCCTACCCAGCTGGTCATTACAGGAGAGAACCAGTTGTTAAAAAACACCTGGAAACCACAAAATCCTTTTGACATATCGCTCTCTCCCCTCCCTCCCTCCCTCCCTCCCTCCCTCCCTCCCTCCCTCTGTATCTCTCTATGTCTCTTTCTCTCTCTCCCTCTCTCTGTATCTCTCTGTCTCTGCCCTGGCCGCTTCTCCATCCCCCGCCGGCGCCCTTACCTTCTCAGGTCAGGTGAGGAGTGGCTGGGAGGGGAGGGCGAGGGGTGGGGCTAGCCAGTGGTGGTGTCAACTTGCAAGCTTTCAAGTTGCCATGAGCAGGAGGGAGGGAGAACTGAAGTGAATTCCATACATTCTTTCTGACTGCAATCAGAAGGAGGGCGTTAGGTTTCACAGCCAGCCAAAGTGGTTAATTGGAGAATGTGATTTATGACATGGCCAGAGAGGAGGGGAGAGACAGGGTCATAGCGGAATGTAAATCTACGTGGGATCAGTCCTAACTGCATCTGAGTATTGCCGGAATGTTGCTCCTAATAAATGACTATATTTCCTTTGAAGTTTGGATCATGGCTCATGAATTAATTAGGGCATCTTTCGGAAACTTGACAGATGGAATCACCTGACAGGGAGCCACAGCAGAGGGCCCAAAGAGCCGCATGTGGCTCCAGAGCCGTAGGTTGCTGACCCCTGCCCTAGACATTGGCAGGATCAATTGGAAGTGTATGTTGCTTATAGCCAAATATATCTGAAAGACTTCAAGATCACAAGGATAGACATTAGGTTCACCCATAGGACCACTTAACCGGATGTGACTTTTTCTTTTTTAAATATAAAGCAAGAGAAGAGACCAATCCTGATCAGACTTGGGGGAGCGTTTCCTATTCAACCTTGTGCTCCTAAATTGCTGTTAATCCTGAAGATGTAATTGTGTAGTCCTCAAATTACGACCAGTTGCTTAGCAACCATTTGAAATTACAGCCGACCCAAAAAGGAGATATATAACCCAGATTTGAAGTTTGGATGGTCAGGACTCCCTCTGCAGTCATATGACCAAACTTCAGGCCCTTGGCAACGCTGCTGCAATTATATATATAAATATAAAAGTTATATTTTTATATTTCCAGATTTGGGAAAACCACACCCATAATAAACTATTGGCTCACTTAACAACAACGATGTTCACTTAATGACTGCCACAAAAGAGGTCATTTTACATCTTTCATGACATACAACTGTAACGGGTGGGCTTATGGTCGTAAGAAGGACTACTTTCAAGTTACCCGCCTTACAAAGGATAGCTATATCATTTGGTGTTTCTGTATCCTTAATTCTTTGGGCAGCTCTTTTTTTAAAAAATTGTTCTCCTATTACGCAACAGATAGGAAGGCCACAGCTTCTTAACAAAATTTGTTAGCGTGGTGATCCAGGAGATTTCTGGTTGTGATTTTATTAGCTCTAACAGACATAATTTGGGGAGTCTGTCAGTCTCCATTTCATTGACTTTGTGCCAATAGTTATGCGCTCTCATTTTGGATAGTGCATGAATTGTATGAATTCCCAATTCAGCTCTAACAGCTGCAGCAGATGTTCTTAGCTCTACACCCAAAATACATCTCAAATGCTGGGACTGCTTGCAATGTTCCAAACCTATGAAATGGAAGTTCAGCTTCTGCTTCCTGTTTCTACTCCTAAACTTTCTTTTGTTATCTTGTTTCTGTCCACCATCATAGTTTCCCCTGACTTGATGTTATTCAGGTGTGCTGGACTAAAACTCCCATCATCCCCAGACAGCAAGGCCACATGGGTTTTGAATTCTGGGATAGCAGTGCAGTGAATAAGGAAATGAGGATGATAACGTAAATGCAGGTTTTGCTTTTTGTTTTTTTAATTTTGATTTATATGCCGCCCTTCTCCGGAGACTCAGGGCAGCTTACAATGCGTTAAGCAATAGCCTTCATACTTTTGTATATTTATACAAAGTCAGCTTATTGCCCCCACAAACTGGGTCCTCAATTTACCCACCTTAGAAAGGATGGAAGGCTGAGTCGACCTTGAGCTTTGCTTTTAACGTAGGTTTCTTCCACCTGACAGGGTGACAGCGGCGGCCCTTTTATGTGTGAAGACGGCATTTCACAAGTGTCACGTTGGCGACTGTGTGGCATTGTGAGCTGGGGCACAGGCTGTGCCCTGGCTAATAAACCTGGAGTCTACACCAAGGTTAACGATTTCCATGGTTGGGTCCACCACACAATGAAGGTAAATAGCATGTGAATGGGGAATACTCCAGAGAAGATGCTGTGGGAATCTGTGATTGTGTTCTCGCAAAATGTTTAATCCACATGCTAAGTTTGGTTTAAACTTTGGTTCATCGGCAGGGGTACATAGAACGTTGTTGCAAACTCAGTCTGTTGGATGAGTTTGTTTCTGTGCACGCACAAACCATCAAAATGGATTAATTCAGTTGTAAGGTGAAGTATTGTGTCACAACACAAATCAGTAAATACGGTTGTTTAATTTCTCTCCTCACCACCCCCCCCCCCAATGGGATTCCAAGGTGATCTAACCTTCCTTTTGGCTCTCTGTCCTAACCATGAAATTTTAGAGGAACAATTCCTGAAAATCCAGTAACATAAAACACAAAACTTCCAGTGTTGAGATAGGAGCAGACGTGGTATTCAGCCGGTTCGGTTTGGTTCATCTGAACCGGTAGCGGAAATCACGGGTCAGCTCTATGCCATCCTATTTAGGCATGTTTTTGAGGCCCGGCGCATGCGCGGAAGGCCCGCGTGCCAGCAAAGCACATGTGTGGAAGGCTGGGCACATGCGTGGATGGGGTGTGAGCGAGCAAAGCGAGTGCTTGCTCTTGCACGCTCACATTTGCGAACTGGTAGGGAAAGTAAATGAATACCACCAGTGGTGGGTTCCAAAAATTTTTTACTACCAGTTCTGTGGTTGTGGCTTAGTGGGCGTGGCATGGTTGGTGGGTGTGGCAGGGGAAGGATACTATAAAATCTCCATTCCTTCCCCACTCCAGGGGAAGGATACTGCAAAATCAAGAGCCTTGATAGTACAGGGGTTTAGTGCACCCTGTAATTAACATAGCTGCCTGAAATTTCTGCTGGTTCGAATCTTGCCAAGGCTCAAGGTTGACTCAGCCTTCCATCCTTTCAAAGGTAGGTGAAATGAGGACCCAGTTTGTGGGGGCAATAAGCTGACTTTGTATAAAACATACAAAAGAATGAAGGCTATTGCTTAACGCATTGTAAGCCGCCCTGAGTCTCCGGAGAAGGGCGGCATATAAATCAAATTAAAAAAAAAAAAAATCCCCATTTCCTCCCAATCAGCTGGGACTCGGGAGGCAGAGAATAGATGGGGGTGGGGCCAGTCAGAATTTTTACTACCGGTTCTCCGAACTACTCAAAATTTCTGCTACTGGTTCTCCAGAACTGGTCAGAACCTGCTGAAACCCACCTCTGAATACTACCTCTGGGTAGGAAGCAAGAAAACCTGCATTGTAAACCCTAAAATAGTAAAGACATAGCTTAATGAACATTTAATGTATCTAATCCTCAAACCACTTTATTAGAGAAGACGCTTATTCAATAAGAGAGAGAGAACAACAGTCTCAGAAAGTTTCTCTCTTAAATACGGTACAAACAGATATCCCAAAGGTGCTTTTATTCAAAAGGCAACTCATGTTCTTTTAATGTGTTGGAATAACATTTCCATGTTGGTTGGAGGCAGTGGTGAAATCCAAATTTTTTTACTACCGGTTCTATGGGCGTGGCTTGGTGGGCGTGGCAGGGGAAGGATACTGCAAAATCTCCATTCCCTCCTCACTCCTGGGGGAAGGATACTGCAAAATCCCCAATCCCTCCCCACTTTGGGGCCAGCCAGAGATAGTATTTGCCGGTTCGCCGAACTACTCAAAATTTCCACTACTGGTTCTCCAGAACCTGTCAGAACTTGCTGGATTTCACCCCTGGTTGGAGGTGATGGAAATCAGAAGTTACAATATCTGAAGCCTATCAGGTTGAGGAAGGCTGGAGACGCTTCCTCTACTTTGTCTCTTTGTTTCTTTTCTGCAGACAAACTCCCACATTAGTGGGTTGGTGATTCAGCAATGAAATGCATGGAACTGGCCTCTTCTCTTTCCAGTGAATTGCTGCCTTAAAAAAGAAGGAGAAGAACCGAGGAAGATGAGGGGGGAAAAAGAGGAACGAACATACGGATATCTTTGGCCTGGCCAAATGAGCAGAATGGGACAGAAAAGTCCTTGCTAATTGCTAAAGCTGTTGTGGCGTACTGGCTCTTTCAGACTTTTGATAAGATGCTTTTGTTCCATTACGTTGTCTTCATGGAGCTTCTGGTCCTTCAGCTGCTCATCTATGGATGAGTTGAAGAGAATACAGAGTTGGAAGGGATCTTGGAGGCCTTCTAGTCCAACCTCAAGCTCAAGCAGGAAACCCTATACCATTTCAGACAAATGGTTCTCTGATGTCTTTTTTAAAACTTTCCCTTCTGGAAGGAAGTTGTTCCATTGATTAATTGTTCTCACTGCCAAGAAATTTCTCCTTAGTTCTAGGTTGGTCCTCTCCTTGATTAGTGCCCAGCTTCTCAAGCAGTGGTGAAATCCAATTTTTTTACTACCGGTTCTGTGGGCGTGGCTTGGTGGGTGTGGCTACCGGAAGTTTGGGAAGAAGGCCTCTGGAGCCTGGGGAGGCCATTTTTGCCCTCCCAGAGGCTCAAGGAAAGCCTCCGGAGCCTGGGGAGGGCAAAAACGCTTCCCCTCACCATGGTGCAGGAGGCTGACTAGGCCATGCCCACCATGGCCACGCCCACCCAGCAACCTGGGGCAAAGAACTGGGAAGACCATGAGAACATAAAAGGGGTTTGGTAAACATAAAATAAATTACAGAATATAGTTTGTGTTTGAGTCTTACTTTGGATTAGAGATAACAAAAAGTTTATGTACAAGGAGAGAACTAGAAAGAACAGAACTCCTGCCCCAGCTGAATGAAAAGCAGACATAAAGGAGATACGATGGGTTAGCTCATCTGTGTATCCAATAGAAGCTCAGGCTTGAACGCTGGAGTCTCCTGGTGCTTTCTGAGCATGGTTGTTTTCCTGCAGACATTTCATTACCCTACTAGGTAACATCTTCAGTATTATCAAGGATAAGGATTTTCTCCCTGTACTATGTATGCTGTTGGACTGACAGCCCACTTGATGGCTCTTTCATATTATGAGGCAAAGATTTAGAGCCCTTCAGGTGATCCATTTTTGTTTGTATGCCCCTTTGAAAAATCTCACCCAATCTGGTATTTTGGCTGGCTAGAATTCTTGGAATTTGCCATCCATTACATGTAGACCAGGGGTGAAATGCTACTGGTTCAGACCGGTTTGCCCGAACCGGTAGTAATAAAAGCTACTGGTTCAGGTGAACCGGTATTTCCAACAATCAGCTGTGCCGCACAATTTATATTCGCGTGGCACAGCTGTTCCCCCCACTCGCTGTTCTACTTACCTTAGAAAAGGCTTCTTAATCCTCCTTTTTTAGCGCTGCGCGGTAACGCCTGTGGTGCACATGCGCGCACAAAGCAAACTGGTAGCAAAGCAAACCGGTAGCAGACTTCAGAGCATTTCACCCCTGATGTAGACACATCACTTGGAGAAAAGCTCCCTTGAAGGTTATCTCCTGTCCTATGTTATCTTCAGTTTAGAGACTCACTGGAGTCTGATTGCTTGCATCCATTGGTAGATATCTTAAAGAAGGCACAGCGATATACAATTGTATCTGCTTGTACTAATTGTTTGCAATGATTTATAAATGATCAGCTAGGTACAATTGATATTTTTTTTTCCCACGAAGAAACTTCCTCTTTTTATCTTTGGCCGAGGCCAGTACCTTAGGAAGCATCTAAGAAAGTTCATTTGTTATGTCTATACATTGTATATAGATGTCTATACTGACTCTTTTCAGTCTTACCTAATTTTGTTCACTCAGATTGTATGTCCCAAAGGTGCTTTGTCGGGATTTTTGTGTTTTTGTTTTTCTTTGAAGATGTTTCGCTTCTCGTCCAAGAAACTTCTTCAAGCTCTGACTGGATGGTGGGGAATGGAAGGATTTATATTCCTGGCAACCAGCTTCCATTCCCCACCATCCAGTCAGAGCTTGAAGAAGTTTCTTGGAGGAGAAGCAAAACGTCTTCAAAGAAAAAAACTAAGTCCAGTTACGTCCTGAAAAAGCACCTTTGGGACAACCACGACCTGGATGACTAAGAATCTCCATAGACACTCAGATTTGTATATATTTCGTACTTGTAATGATCTCAGTAAAATAAACTGGTTTTGATTGTGGACAGTTCTGGAATGTTCATGCAGATTTCCCTGAGAATCTCCATTGAAAATGGGGTTCTCTAAGTCAATTAAGACTTATATCAAGGGATGGGATTGAAAAATTTTAGCAACCGGTTCTCCTCCTGGTTGCTGGATGGGTGTGGCCATGGTGGGCGTGGCCTACTCAGCCTCCTGCACCATGGTGGGGGGGGGACGTTTTCATCATCCCCAGGCTCTGGAGGTTCAATGAAAAGGCTCCTGAAGGGCAAAAATGGCCTCCCCCGGGCTCCGGAGGCCCTCCAAAGGCCGGAAATGAGCCCATTTCTGGTACTTCTGGTAGGCCCGTTTTTCGCCCTCTCCAGGCTCCGGAGGCTTTCCTCAAGCCTCCGGGAGGGTGAAAATGGCCTCTCCGGGCTCTGGAGGCCCTCTGGAACTGGAAAAGGCCCCATTTCCAGACTTCTGGAACTTCCAGGAGTCCCATTTTTCACCCTCCCAAGAGTGTCCGTGTGAGCCCTGCACTTACCTGGCATCCAAAATGGGCCGTGTGGAGACTCTGGGAGGGGTGGGACAGGATAGGTGGGGCCAGCCAGTCCTTGCAATTACCGGTTCGGCAAACCAGATGTAAAATTAGCATCCAGTTCACCCAAACCGCTCCGAACCGGCTGAATCCCACCCCTGCTTCTATGTAACACCGCTCCTGCGCGAGCTGCACTGGCTCCCGGTGGTCTTCCGGGTGCGCTTCAAGGTGTTGGTTATCACCTTTAAAGCGCTCCATGGCATAGGGCCTAGCTTTCTTCGAGACCGCCTGCTGCTACCGACGACCTCCCAGCGACCCGTGCGCTCCCACAGAGAGGGCCTCCTCAGGGTGCCATCAGCCAAACAATGTAGGCTGGTGACCCCCAGGGGGTCTAACCCTAACCCTACCCTCTGGAATCAGCTGCCCCCAGAGATAAGGGGAATCCAAGACCTCAGTGCCTTCCGCCGTGCCCTTAAAACCCACTTTTTCCAGCAAGCCGGGCTGGCTTAGGAAGAAATTTTTTAAAATTTTTAAATGTTTAATTGGTTTGTGGTTTTTTAAATTTTGGGCCAAATTTATATAGATTTTAATTGTTTTTAATATTTGTATTTCATGTTTTTAATTCTGGCTGTGCACCGCCCTGAGTCCTCAGGGAGAAGGGTGGTATATAAATTTAAAAATAAAATCCTTGTAAGGAAAGAGAAGCATTTATTGTATGGTTTGAACAGCAGAGGACAGCAAACTGTAAAATTTGCTTCAAATTTCCTGGGTATTTTATACGAACGGTCTTTTATTCTCAGCGTTTTCTTGCCTTTGGAGAACAATTTCTGCTTAGGCAACCATGCCTTGGTGAGTCCATTTAGAGACTTTCGTTCTGGAATGCTCAACACATTGAAATTGTCCAGGACAAGCATGATTGCAGCCTACAGGATACCAGGATCTACATCAATCTACTTCATGACATGCCTCATCAGTCTTTGGTCCCTTGTGTTCAGCTCTCAATAGTTAGCACCCTTCACTAATTTCGGATCGGCTGGAGAGGTCACTGTGTCTGCTCAAGGAGCTAGCTCTGAGTAAGCAATGCCCTTTTTTCTTTCTTTCCCAGAGTGGCAGGATAATAAGGGTTAGCCTGTTTTGAGGCCCCATAGCATGTGGAAACAATGCCCAGACTTACAGGAGAGAGATTGGACATCCGCTTAAGGGAGATGAAAAGAACACAGAATAGTTAATAACTGGTTAATGGTTAACTGAATTTTTTTCCCCTCCCAACATTACTTAACTAGCAGTCAAGAATGCCCAGAAGAGTCCAAATGAGCAATTAAATAATTAATCTATTAGTCTATATTCGCTTCTCACCCGCAAATGTACTTTCTGTTCATGGCAGTTTCTCATATATTTGATCTTAAATATATTCCATGTCTTGTGAGTTTCGCTTGCTTACAACCACAAATTGAGCCCAAAATTTCGGTGGCTAAGTGAGACAGTTGTTCAAAGTGAAATTTGCTCTGTTTTACAACATTTCTTGCAACAATTGTTAAGCGAATCAATGCAGTTGTTAAATTAGTAACACAACTGTTAAGATAATCTGCCTTCCACATTGACTTTACTTCTCAGAAGGTTGCACAAGGTGATCACATGACCCTGGGACACTGCAACGGTCATAAGTATGAGTCAGTTGCCAAGCATCTGAATTTTGACTATGTATCCATGGGAATGCTGCAACAATTGTTTAGTTTTAATCTGTTAATGGGTTTTAATTCGTATTGTTTTAATTCGGGCCAAAGTATATAATTATATACAAAGTATATAATTCTTTTAATTAATTTTAAATTTTGTATTGTATTTTGTATTGTTATGTATTTTAGTTCTGGCTGTGCACCGCCCTGAGTCCACTAGGAGAAGGGCGGTATAGAAATTGAATAAATAATATAATAAATAATAATATATAATATAACAATTGTGTGAAAAATGGTCATAAGTCACTTTTTCCAGTGCTGTTGTAAATTTGACTGGTCACTAAATGAACTGCTATAAATCGAGGACTACCTGTATAATGTCAAGTTTTTAAATTCATCTTAGAATATAGAATAATATAGAGAATAGAATGGAACGGAACAGAACGGAACGGAACAGAATAGAATAGAATTCTTTATTGGCCAGCTGTGATTGGACACACAAGGAATTTGTCTCCCGTGCATAAGCTCTCAATGTACATGCAAGCAGCAAGGTATATTAACAAGTATGGCATTCTGGTAAATCAACCATCAATAGACACATAGACATTAACAACATCTATATAGACCATGCAAAAGAGACAATCAACCAGCCCAAAAGGAAACAAAAAGACTCCAGCACTGCTCCATCAGTAATCAGCAATCAGATCAGCATAGATTAATTCCAAGGTTAACTTCAGACCAACAATCAAGTAAGCAATACCCCAATTGACAAACTGCCAAAGAAGCCAACAGTATACAGTCCAGTGGTGGGTTTTTTTTACTACTGGTTCTGTGGGCGTGGCATGGCTTGGTGGGAGTGGCAGGGGAAGGATACTGTAAAATCTCCATTCCCCCCCAATCCAGGGGAAGGTTACTGCAAAATCCCCATTTCCTCCCAATCAACTGGGACTTGGGAGGCAGAGAATAGATGGGGGTGGAGCCAGTCAGAATTTTTACTACCGGTTCTCTGAACTACTCGAAATTTTTGCTACCGGTTCTCCAGAACTGGTCAGAACCTGCTGAAACCCACCTCTGGTTAGGCTTAGCTACAATGGGAAAAACGCACAGAATCGTTATATCCTTGTCAAAATTTTTCTACTGATGCTGGCTTGACAAATGAACCTATTCTTTCCTCTGCGTGCGTCCAGAATTAGTTTTCAATTGCCCTTTCTGGGAGATCGTATATAACCCCTCCTGATGTAGAGAAAACTGAGTGTAACAAAGAACAGGGATCTCAGCCCGTTCATGCACTACGCTGCAGACAACTGATGGGTAAGAATTTTATGCTCAGAATGAAGTGGGTGGAAAGTTTCTCCCATTTTTTTGTTTTCCTTTCTGCAAATATTATCTATTCCCCTGCAGTACTTCGTTGATCTTTCAATCATGGTTTAGCATGCAAGTTAAAAGAAGGAAGATCCAGGTTGAAATTCTTGTTTTGTCACCAGATTTATCAGGTGAGCTTTGCTGGATCAGACCCTCTCATTTTTTCCCCCCAGCCCTCCTTTTAAGGCAAAGGATGGATCAAATTAAATCAAAATCAATTATTGGGTGGATTAAATCAAGCGTGACATTGACGGAAAGTGGCATTTCCCAAACCGCTGTAAATCTGCAGAATGTTAAAATGAAAGAGTTGGAAATGTTGAATAAACCAATCCACAGGAGCCTCAACTCTCCCTATTTACTTTATTTATGAGAGTTTATAACACTTCATTCTTTAAATATGACAGAAAAGGTGGGAAGAGGCTGTAGAAACTCTGGTGAAAATAAGGGCTATAGGAAAGAGAAAATGAATTGCAACTCATACCAAGAAGGTAAAATAATAGCATTTTAAAGGCAAAGAATATTTCTGAATACTGTGTTTTTTTGTTTGTTTTTTAATTTGATTTATATGCTGCCCTTCTCCGGAGACTCAGTGTGCTAAGCAATAGCCTTCATACTTTTGTATATTTTATACAAAGTCAGCTTATTGCCCCCACAACTGGGTCCTCAATTTACCTACCTTAGAAAGGATGGAAGGCTGAGTCAACCTTGAGCCTGGCGAGATTCGATCTTACTTTAATTGCAGGCAGCTGGTCTTAATAACAGGGTGCTTTAGACCACTGTACTACCAAGGCTCTTTGTAATATGAGTTCTTTTTTTTTATGCAAGATGCTGAAGGGCTAAGCGGAAAATACATTTAAAATGACAGCCGTTGGAGAAATATTTGCTTTAATTAAGTAGACACTTAGCTAGAAGTAATAATATTCATCCCCATTCGATGATTCGGTACACTACTCAGCTATAAACCCCACAGTGTACAATAAAGGTGAGTAGGATTACTGCCAAAAATGTATTAAGAACAACATTAAGCCAGAAATAAATTTATACATTCTTAGGTTTCCTGCATAATTTCTGATATAAGAATTAAAACAACAGCTGGGAATATGAGATCATACCTTCCCTGGTCAATGAAGTTCCTAGCCCTGGGTGAGTTTGTCTCAAAGTTCTTTTCAAATGCATTTATTCATTAATATGCATAATAAAGTTCACAGCATGATTTAGTTTATTGTCACTATTGTTTCCTCGCCCCCCCCAAACTGCAACTCATTTTGTGATTGTAGTGGAGGCATCTACACAACACCTAGACTGCTTGTATGTCCCTCGTCATGCTCCAAATTTGCAACTAATTAAATTTCTATTTTATTCTGGATGGGACGGGGCATTTTAAGATTAGTACTGACCAGCAGCAATTTATAAGAAGGCAGGATGAGTTCCCAACGGAAAGAGGAGGAATTGCTGACTGATAAGGT